TTTGCGGCGTTGACATTCCCGGCAGCTTTTCACGTATCGCTTAACTGATGCAGAAAGCTTAGGCCAGTAGTATGCTTGTCGAACTCGAGCAAGAGTTCGAGAGGAACATAAGTGACCAGATGTGGGCTCATCGTGGCAGGCAAGAAGAATGTTGTCACACATGTCAGTTGGCACAACTAGAAGATAGGTTCTCTCATTGCCATTGGAGTTTTTCTTATACAGGACCCCACCTCGCAGACAGAACGACGACAGACTTCGAGAAATACATCGAGGTATGGACGAGTTGGGTCCTTGCGTCCTTCAAGGTTTTCGATAGCTGCGCGAATTTCATCATCCGCACGCTGTCGCGTAATCAGATCTGTTGTAGTAAGGGCCCCAAGGAAACCATCGTCATCCTCGGTGTCGTGGCACCGAGGATGACACAGGTGCACGGGATAATGAATCAGCATCTTCGTGCTTGCGGCCCGATTTGTAAGCGATCGTGAAATCATATTCCTGCAGACGAAGACTCCATCGTGCCAGTCGCCCACACGGGTCCCGTAGGTTGGCTAACCAGCACAACGAATGATGGTCGGTCACTACCTTGAAGTGGCGTCCGTAAAGGTCAGGCCTAAATTTCATCGTCACCATCCGCACGCTGTCGCGTAATCAGATCTGTTGTAGTAAGGGCCCCAAGGAAACCATCGTCATCCTCGGTGTCGTGGCACCGAGGATGACACAGGTGCACGGGATAATGAATCAGCATCTTCGTGCTTGCGGCCCGATTTGTAAGCGATCGTGAAATCATATTCCTGCAGACGAAGACTCCATCGTGCCAGTCACCCACACGGGTCCCGTAGGTTGGCTAACCAGCACAACGAATGATGGTCGGTCACTACCTTGAAGTGGCGTCCGTAAAGGTCAGGCCTAAATTTCATCGTGGCCCATACAACAGCGAGGCACTCTTTCTCTGACGTGGAGTACTTGGCCTCGGCGCAAGGAAAGAGTGCGGCTAGCGTACGCTATCACTCGCTCTGTGCCCTCTTGTGTTGTATGAGGACAGCAGCAAGACCCACGTTGCTGGCGTCAGTATGAATTTCAGTATCAGCGTCTTGGTCAAAGTGAGCAAGGACTGGTGGTGTCTGCAAACGCTCCCGTAGTTCAGAGAAAGCTGCATCCTGTTCTTCCTCCCAGATGAATGGAACATTTTCACGAGTGAGTCGAGTGAGCGGTTCAGCAATCCTAGAAAAATTGGCTATAAAGCGGCGATAGTACGCGCAGAGCCCTAGAAAGCGACGCACTGCCTTCTTATCACGTGGAACAGGAAACGAGGCCACGGCGGTACTTCTGTCAGGGTCTGGTCGAATACCATCCGCAGTGACAACATGGCCGAGAAACTTAAGTTCCTTGTGACCGAAGTGGCATTTTTCTGGCTTCAGTGTCAGGTTAGCAGAGCGGAGCGCTTCCAGCACATTCTGCAGACACTTCAGGTGCTCTTCAAAGGTGGCAGAAAACACGACAACATCATCGAGGTAAACTAAGCACGTGTGCCACTTCAGACCGGTAAGAACAGTGTCCATCATTTTCTGGAATGTCGCTGGTGCAGAACAGAGGCCGAAGGGAAGCACTTTGAATTCATATAGGCCATCCGGTGTAACGAAGGCGGTTTTTTCACGATCTCGTTCATAAACTTCGATCTGCCAGTAGCCACTTTTCAAGTCTATCGATGAAAAATACTTGGCCCGCCGCAGTCTGTCGAGGGAATCGTCGATGCGAGGCAGCGGATAGACGTCTTTTTTAGTCACGCTGTTAAGTTTCCTGTAGTCCACGCAGAAGCGCAGTGATCCGTCTTTTTCTTCACGAGCACGACGGGAGATGACCAGGCACTTTTCGAAAGTTGGATAATGTCATCTTGCAACATCTCTTTGACTTGAGCATTTATCACGTCACGTTCGTTTGCCGAAACGCGGTAAGGGTGTTGTTTTATGGGCGAGGCATCGTTATACGTAATTATTCGGTGTTTGGTGATCGGTGTCTGACGAACTTTCGAGGTGGACGCGAAGCACTCTTTAAATTGATATAGCAGTTCACGTAGCTCGGTCTGTTGTTGTTCCGAGAGGGTCGAGTTGACATCAACATTTTCAAGTAGTGAAGTCACGTCGCCTGGTGTCGGTCGAAGCCCGTCGTTGGCTGATGTAGATGCGAAGCATTCAGAAACGTCTGCGATAGGGTAGGCGAAAGCGATGGCAGTGTCAGGAAACAGATGCCGGTACTCGTTACTGAAATTAGTCACAAGTAGGGCAGAGTGTCCGTCATAAAGCGTGACGAGGCTGCGTGCAGCGCAGACACCTAGCATGAACAAAAGCGTCAAGTTGCCTTCAGTGACAACCTCACCATCCTGTAACTTGTCAGACACCACATCAACTAGGACGCTTGAACGCGGAGGCAACGTGATGCTCTCAGCAGCCCTACCAAAGGCTCGTAATCTAGTGCGTGCCATGAAACTCAAGCCCTCTGCTCAAGAAAAAGGAGGCCTTCTCGGCCTCCTTTTTCTGCCGCTCATCGACTGAGTGAAACGGTCTGCCCCATTCTATCGCTGATATCACCTGCCCATCATCATTTGCTGAGAAGCTTAAGCCCCAATTTACTCTTACGTTTATATGTGGCTACTAATTATAAGCATATCTGGTTGATCTGTATAATTTACAAATGTATATATATATTGTTTACGTATAATTCCTTGTATGTATGATTGTATATTATCATTATGTATATATGTCGCCCAATTGTAACCCCACCCCTTATGTAATACCCTCCTTGAGGGGGCCCTTAAGGAAATAAAAAGTGAAGTGAAGTAATTCACGCTCGTGAGAACAACTTGTAACACATGCATAGGAATAAATTTGGTAATTTTGCAAGTGCAGATACAGAAATTGACATTGGGTGTTCAAGCTAGCCCATATGACATTATGGGGCTCATGGTGCACTGGCAGTCATGTAATACAGTTTTCACACGCTGATTTGCAACTGTGGTATGTCGGTTTTGTTATCAAAACACGTATCGGGAATTTCTATATGTGCAAGAAGCATCCCGTCTTGCTGGTTGTGGGCGACATGATCATTTAGGATCAGCCTTACGACCCTGTGTATTGGTCGACAGCCATTTTGCAGGCGGCTGGCATGCCTCGGGAAACTATTCTATAAGCGTTCCATGACAGAACAGAATGAAATATCACCAAGAGGACAACAGAGTGCCGCACACGATTGGTCAAGGCTTATCTGATGGTCAGACGTGATAACAGCTACCAGACTTGACAGTTCTGTCAATCATTTTGGCACAGAACTAGCACAAAATGGGAGGAAGCCCGGTTCCTTCCGATAGAACAGACAAAAAAGGGTCTCCTGACGTATGGGTTGCATAAAAAATGTAAGCACTTTGGTGGAAGAATCGAATTAGCTTGCCCTATGTCTGACTTACTCCAATTCCGCACAAAGAGTTTGCAAAAATTGCAAGTAGCCCCCTACCACTGAATGATTTGTCAAAACGTGCCCCCACCAAGCTTCAACTCAAGACATTAAAGCAAATAAATTGTTAAATTGATTACATTCTTCAATTTCAATCTTCGAAAAATTATGCCTGCCAATATTGATCTATAGTTCTTTATGCGATGAAAATGATTCTGAAAGCTCTCAGCTCACCTATTGGCTGTTTGCTCCCTCTCATCATATTGATGACGTTTTGTTTCGTTTTGTCACAGAATGTTTATAAAAATGCTAGCGTTTTTGTTTTGCAATAAATAAATCAGGCTTCTGTAAACTCAGCGCTTAATTTGCACAAATACAATGCTTATGGCACACCGGGCCTGAGGCATGCAGTGTACGATCAGAGGACGCTTCACACGACTTGCACGAGAATTGGGGGGCAGGGGGAAAGGGAAGCAGAGGAATGGCAAGTTTATCTGCTATTGGGAGTTCGACATCCACAAGGGCTCTCAATATTGAAGAGAACAGGCCAATGTCAATGGTGTGAATAGTACTGTGGCTGTGCAAATTGATAAACATCCTCACCTACCCCCCCCCCCCCCCCCCCCGAGATCCTCGTTGTTTGTCTCGTGTACGTCTTTTTTGCGCTTAAGCTTTAGCATTATAGAATACAAACTTGTCTGCTCCTATAGCTTGCTTTAGTAACTTTCTTGAAGGAAGTTATACAGTTCAAAAATCCTTATGTTGTTCCCTTACATCTATATAGGGAAGGAGCCCTCAATGTAAAACTTCCTCAAAAGCACAATGTATACCAAAAATGTACTGAACATGAAAATTTATACATTAAGCAAACACGGTGTTGAAGGTAGAGAGAGAAGGAATGATTACAAGAAAAGAAAGACAGTACACTGAGCAAATATAAGTTCAAATGTAACAAGGCTTCAGCCTTTTCACATTGAGGCTAAGCAACTAGGAGGGTCTCCTAAATCGGGTTTAGCGCATGATGCAAGCACAACACGTGGCGTAAGGAGAAATTTTCATCATTTTGATCGAGTGGATGCTCTGTGAATTGTACATCTCGAGAAAGTTGAGATACGGGCATGATTTCCAATTTATTTTCTTACTAATTACCTACGCTAGCATTCATCCAACCATTGGTGTAAGCTGTCTAAGCCATGTGCTCCTCGTCTTTTTCTCTTCCACGTCATTCTGAAGTTGGCGCAGGCGCCGTCAAAATTCGCTGCTCTCCCTGATGAAACACTTTCACAGTCCGCGCAGGGGACCTTGTACGCAATACCAAGAAAGGCTTCAATCGAGCCCATCTTTCGCATTTACAAGTGCACGCCTTAATTTGCATGCAGGCACGTGGGCAACTTCGAAGTCACACCTATGCAAGACGCATGGCAATGTCTGGTGGAAGCAATGTTTCTATCTTAACTTTTATTCGGACAGTACTTTCTCTGTTCTATCATGTTTCATCCCAGCCAGACGGGTTTCCTTCAAGCTCTTAATTTAAATTTCAAGGAATTAGTACGCACTCGCTTGTCTCCCTCCCTCAGCAGTCGCCACAGTCCATGCACTGGGGCCGGGAAAAGGGCCTGGCTGCGCTCGTCGTACCAGTTACGCAACGTCCAGCACACAGTGCGCGATTGATCCTGCAGACAGCTCCACAGGTTCAAGTGGCTTCCTGAAACGCATACAATTGGTTCAGTATGTGCTGCACATTGCCAAAAATGCCCTCACATTTGGTAAAGATCACAATATACGAAGCACGTTGACAATTCAGTAAATTGCAGAAATTTAGCTAGCCCCATTATCTTATCGGTAACACTGCCGTGAAGTGACATGAAATTTAAATCTTAAAAGGATGAAAAAAAAAACTGCTCCACTTTTAAGAGTGCAAGGTTTCATGCACGTACTACCAGAAAATATTTTCGTAGATAAACTGAGGCGGTGTGAAACTCACGAGCTTACTGAAAAATGCACAGCAACTACAGAGAACACGAGATATGTTGAATTCTTGTTTTATATCATGTGAAAAGCTTTGCACTCCGCAAGTGATGATAGCATGCAGTCTGCATTATAGAGGTATATATGTGTGAATAGACACTGCTGTGATGACCTCATGAAGTCTTTGGCACACTTAAAAAATATGGTGTGCAAAAGTACTGTTTCCTAGTGAATAAATGTTACATGAGATCCCAAGTCTTGTTCACCAGGGCGCCTGAGCATATTCACAAACTTATAACTGATAAGAACGCATGTAGATTATTAATTAGCAAAAGGCACAATGATGTGTTGAATTGGAGACGTGACTCTATATATTGAACAAAACCAAACCACGGAATACAAAACTGCACTACAGTACTGACGTGTGCTTATGATTGACACAAAGATGATGCAGGCCATAAGTTTTCTTACCAGGGCCGCTAAGTTACCTCTAAGTTGATGTTTGAGTTGTCTTCTAAAATTAAAATAACACTTAGCACTGCTGACAAATCAACACTTCCATGTATGCCTGCCATGAAGGGCACATTTAGGCACTAACACTGATGCATTTGCAATTGCTCTTATACCGTAGGCATGTTGTCTTGTTCATGAAGTTCTGAAAATGGTCAGTTGAGTGAAATAAAAGACCAAATAAGTCAATTTATATACAAACATAATACGCCAAGACAGAGTAGCTTCCAGAAGACTATTTGTAGAAAGAAAGAAAAAAAATTCTTTTACTGACACAACTAACAATGATGCTTTATCATTTTGCACCCTGAAATTGTAAAATACGCTATGAGAAAAATGTAGTGAAGGACTTCATATGGTACTGCTAACTCCAGGTTCTTTAATCTGCTCCGAAAGCACACCACACGAGTGGCTTCTGTATTCCTCCACTCTTCTCTGGTTGTTGCAGCCAGTAATAAAGCATGCAACACAGCCCAGCGCTAGTCCCGACTGTAGCTTGACAACCGCAGCGGTGGCGCGAAGTTTCTCTGTCATGATTCGAGTGAGAAAAACCTGGCACTTTAACAACGCTTGACTATCTGCAGTGCAATGCAAATGCTGGAGAGTCAACAATGCGACTTGCCCACTCGCTTGATGACGGTGTACAGCAAGGGCACGTAGGTAAGGTGCAGGAGCCAGATGTAGCGCCACAGTTGAGCCAGCAGGCATGCCCACACCAGGGTGGACAGGTACAGCCTACTCCTCCCGGCATCCTTACTGCCTTTCGCCTCTGCAGAGGCATTTGGGACAAGTAAGACATGTTGCCAAAATATTGCAATATCACCATGGACACTGTGTCGAATTCTTAGATCGGCAGGAAAAAAAATTCTAAAAACTTCAAGGGTCTCTGAGATAACCAACCTAAAATAAAACTGAGAGCATATTAAGTACAGCTACATTTACAAATTACTGTTTTAAAGGTTGTAATGACCACTCGTAAAGCCAAGTGAGCCAGAAAGTCCCCAAAATAAACCAACTAGTGGCACTATCTAGAAGTTAAGTGATCTGGGTATCAATTGTACATCTATTAAGGTCTTGTAATTGACTTACTACTAATAAAATAACTTTTATTGAAGTTTGAAAGACCAAAACACAATACCAAGCGAGCATAGATAAATTCATTTACACAAACCTTGCTTTTAAATTAAAAAAAAATATATTTCATGATTCGTAGTAAAACAATGGTGCAAAATATCGAGAGGAAAGCTTGACCCACTCTCTCCAGTAATAACCTGCTTTTTCATTTCCAAACGAATCAATATGCCTTCCTCAATATGCCATCCTCGATGAGGATGATGGTAAGAGCAGCAATGTACTTCGCACGAACATGTTCTGTGATGAAATAAACTTTCAAACAGTTTATATAAGTTGAACAATATTGTTGCTTACAGGCAGCATTGCATCTAATGGTGTGGTAACTATTCGACCATAGACTAGCTGGAATCATCGCGTCAGTGTAGTAGTCTCCTGCACAGCAGTATTATAAGTGAAAGTGGTGTACGGCAGTATCTCGTCCCACGTACTGTGCTCCAAGTCAACATAAATGAACAACATATCGGTTAGAGTTCTGTTGAGTCGCTCGGTTAGCCCATTCGTTTGGGGGTGGTGAGCCGTGTTTTCCTATGACATGTGTGGGTAAGTTTCATAATGGACTGCGTCAGATCGGCTGTGAATGCAGTTCTTCGATCCGCGATAACCACCTTTGGGGCACCGTAGTAAAATGTGAATGACGAAAAATTCAGCGACTTCTATAGCCGTGCCCCTGGTGAGAGAGGCTGCCTAGGCATATTGCGTTAAGTAGTCTGTCACCCCTACTATCCATCGGTTGCCCATTGATGACGTAGGGAATGGACCAAGTAGATCCATTCCTACTTGTTCAAATGGAGATTTAAGGGGTTCTATTGGTTGGAGAAATCCTGTAGGTTTCAATGGAGGCGTTTTGCGTCTCTGGCAATCTCTACAATATAATACTTAGTACTGTGGCATTGTTTTACTTGTTCTCCAAACTTCATAACTGGTTTAGATAACTACACATAACTTGAATGCATAGTCTTATCTTGTATTACGAATGGTGCATGTCTAAAAAAATGCACACAAGCAAGGTCGTAAACGTCAAGATAAGTGAAAAAGGCACAAGAAGAAAACATGCTGTATACAGTACATTGAAAGCGGCACAATTAGTTACCTATTATGTCTGTGATGACTGAAGAATGCACGGCAACTCTGATGAAGTGATCATACAAAGTTATTTTTATTGTATTGTAGGGGTAGGTTGACTATCAAAATAGTCTTGATAATACAGAGGAAGGTAAAATACTGATCACATATTGAAAAAAAAACACACACACACATTTTAAACCCTGTGTTGCATATTTAGATTGTTAGACACTAACATGCTTGGCAGGACGCTGCAGAAGCTTCCAATGACGGTGATGATAGAAGAATCTTTTTTTTTCTTCATTTGTCGAAATGCTTTAATCCAATCTTAATGTTCGCACATACTCCGAGTCAAGTATCTGTTTTTATTCATGAACACAAAATGATTTACTGCACGATTAATAATTACTTATCCTCTTAATAAATATTATGACTCACTTGGATATATGCAGAGCAACAACATACCACCTTAGAATTTTCCTGACACAAAATACGGAGCTCCTTCTTAAGAGGAGGTGCGAGTTAAAAAACTCAACTATTTTTCCGAAATTGCATATTTCTTGTTTTTATTTCTTTTCAGAAGTACAGTTTCTCTACTTTCACGACAAAAACAAAAACACGAAAACACCACTTAAACTCGAGGCAGGGTAAAATTTCTTTTAAAGAGCACAAGGTGGCTGCTAACAACCAAAAAGTGCTCATTGTCTAGAGTCCCATGAAAATTGTCACCTGGTTGCTTGCCATTGCATTTTGCATGAGGAGTTCACTGAAGCCATGAGCTCAAAATTACCATAATTTCCATGTTTTCATGATAGAAGGAATAATCTTAAAAATGTAGGTAAAGGCAGCGCTGCAAAGTTACTAAGGATTAAAAAAAAGCCGGACTACACAGCTTCTCTAAAAAACATTTTTTCCGCATAGGCGAGCTTTCACTTATGCCTTTAAAATGCGTTCTTCACAAGATCCATTTTTGGGCAACTTGAGTTTGGAGATCATGTTTGTGGTACTTCTGATAGCCCGATCGGGATGAAGTTTTGCCCACATAATTTTTAGCTTGCAGAGGGTGATTAAAACTTGATATTGCCTGTATAATTGTTACAAAACCTAAGCTAAGAGATTACTATGGGCTGAGGATTCAAAAAGCTCTCACATAAATATTTTCCTTGTCCATTAAAATGTCTTATATGTGCTTTCTCCATAGTTATTTGCATTCCACAGTTGATGTGGAGCAGTACGGGCTATTAATTGCCAAGAATCATAAAAGGTTAGTGGCATAAAAAATTTGTCCAAACCAAACTATACTTATAAATTGTCATGGCACAAAACAAAAACTGTGCAACTTACTATAAAACTAATTACATATTTGCAATCCGCATAAAAGCCTATACATACAGCAAATATTCCATTGCACTTGGCTACAGATTAACAAAACTTTTGTTTTTTGAATCGTATTTTCCCTTAAATAATTGCCATAAATTTAGCCCAGTCATCAACAGCTCATCATAGTTTAAGCCTTAAAGGGACACTAAAGGCAACTATTATGTCGACGTTGATTGTTGAAATAGCAGTCCAGAAACCTCGTAGTGTTACTTTTGTGCCAAGGAAGGACCTATTTTGAAATAAAATCATGTTTCAGTGGTCCGCATCGGGTTAGCGCACTTCAAATTATCCGCCTCAAGAAGCGGACCAAACGGACCGACACACGTCACTGCCGTGCACTATGTTGCCCGGCTTTACTGCGCTAGTAGCAGCAGACCGAAAGCAGCAGGAGCCACAGCAGCAACAACGACCATTGATCAATTTTCCACCATTGGCTTCGAGATGGCAGATGTTTTTTCTATTCATTTGGGCCCCGCTAGATGGCAACACCTGTCGTGTGTAACTACGAGAAAATTGAATTTTCAAATCACTTGTACCATTCTAGTAACGTCTGGCGGTTCTTTTTTCCATGAATCAAACAGAAACGAACCAGCAGCATTTTATTGCATCTCTTGATGCACGGAAGGTTTTTTATTTAGTGCAGCTAGATCGATTACTAGTGGTTTAATTGTAGGCAGTCTGTATGATGTCATCGGGATCATTTTGAGAATGTCCTACTGCGGCGCATGTGTTCTTGAGCCCTATTTACCTTAATTTCTTGGTAAGTAGGGCACTGTTGTTGATAATATTGTCGTTTTAAATATTGTCATTCATTGAGCCTTCACTCGGACGTAAATTGTTATTTGACTTTAGTGTCCCTTTAAAAGGTTGATTATTGAACAATATATATCTACAATAATGTCATTTTCACCCCATTTCGTGTGAATTGGCACTCAACGTGCTGGTGCCTACGAGTAACAGCACCCCTGGCACTCCATCAAGACGGCATGCATTGTACTGTACAAGAAAAAGTCGGTTACACCCCCTGATACATGCTGTCCTAAGCGATGCACAGCACGTATGTGGGAATGCATCAGGTTATGAAAGATGCAGATCCCAACAAGTGATTGCCCCACAAGTACTGGCCCAAGTCACAACACTGTTCTTTCCTCTGTACACTTCAAGCTCTCCCCATATTCAGAAATCTGTCTCAAGGTAAAGCCACAACTTAGCTAAGGCTTGAGTAACACAATATCTACATCATTTATGCAGCACCGCAAAGAACCACAGGATGACGAAAGAGCAAGATGAGACACAGTGATAGCCGAACACAGCCGACATATTTGTGCATCCAAAATGCAATGCTCCTGCAGGATGTTCTTCTGCTGCTCGTTCAGCCCTGTGTACCACTTTGTCCTTTCACTGTCCACGTGGTTGTTTACACTATCGCATCAATTATGTACAAGCCTATCGGCCTGTACTTTGGAACATAAGCATTCACGGTGTTTTCTTGGGCAAATGTATCTCAGCCGTTGTGATAATGTCAGGCATTCAAGTCGTGGCCTCTTGTCAAGGTGCACTGCTCGATATGCAGGGGTCTTTCCCTGTGACGACGTAAATGGAACCTGTTTCATGACGTACCGGCATCGTCGTCCTTGTTTTTGTTCTCCTGGTCGCTGTCCTGCACGGTGATGGTTGGCCTCACTGTGATGGCGGGCAGAATGATGTCACCCTCACTCGATCCAGGTGCCGGGGAGGGTTGTCGATGCAAAGCCGAGTGCCGGGGCGCTAGTTTCCCTTCGTCTGACGACGCGCTGCTTTTGCCGTCGGCACCGTCAGCCTCGTGGCTGGTGCCTTTGTCCTGCGTAAAAAAAATGTTTCAGAGAGGTCTAACACTTTGTTTTCTATGCCAAGAATAAGGATAGCCTGGGCAACTCCACTTTATTTATTTATTTATTTACTCCCTTATTCTTACAGTCGTTAAGCTTCAAAGAGAGAAACAGTGAAAATTAAGTACCAATGTAAAATATTCACACAAACAAGAAAAAACAATAACAAATTATTCATAACAGAGAACTTGAAATATTTGATTTGAATTTAAACGATGGCTCCAGGAACACAGTTATATTCTTAATTAAACATTGTAATGAAAAAGTACTGATTAGTCTTAGCTAAGCTAGACACTAGCATTTACAAGAAAATGAACAAGAGTAGACATGTACAGTAGATTATAAGAGACACTGATGTAAGAGGCAAATGGGTGTAAGAGATGCCAGTGAGCCTAGATTCAAATAGGTATTGATAAGAAAATGCATACATGGTACAGTACTTACATAAGACACCTCATATAAAAGACTAGAATTGATCCTCAGAGCATGTGTCTTATAAAGGGAGTGCAACTGTAATTCGGAACAGTAACATCTTGTAAAGAATCTTGTAAGAAAAGACAAATTACTTAGCATAATCATTTCAGATCCAAATGCAACAATCCAAGGCAACGTATCGAATTCGCTTATGATATACAATGTCAAATTGAAATGAAGTGCATCGTAATATCAGTTCTGATAATATTAAGCAGCTATATACAGTGTTCTACATATCGTTCGAGTATATAGCATGCATACCGCACAAAGGCTACTCCTAATGCAAGACTGGCATGCACATTTTTAGTAGTCTTATTATATGGCTTTCACAAAGGGCTTCAGTTTCTCAATTACAATGAGTTCGCTAGACTTACAAGCTTATAATTCGACAGATTTATTGTTAACGACAGACTCATCACCATGTATCACCCGTCACAACATGATTGTCACCACCGGCAGCATATCTCCAGCCCTGCCGATCTTTCATTTCAAATAGGTTATTGCTATATGGGCAGCTTCCCACAATGAGCAGCTAATGTTCACCCATTCTGCCAGCTCTGCAACTTGCTATGAGTCTGCAAACACCAGCACAATGCACACAACGAGTCATAGTGACACATATTACATCTAAATGCAGCATTTTTCTTCCTGTGGCCACACACTACCTGAAAATCCTTTCTTTGTAGCATGCACGATTATATACACAGCTCAGGCACAAGCATGAATTGCAGTTGTTAGTGTGCTGGATGAATGCTCCCAAACTCAACATACATTAAAAAAGCAACCCCTTAAGGTATCTATGATATCCCATACCCTTTCTAAACGTCCAGCCGGTATGAACACGAGGCCACATTCTAAAATGGGCACAAGCTTTGTCACATCTCACTTTCTCCACGGCATTTCTTAACAGGGTGAACTGTGTATTTGCATGAAACTGGTATTTTCAATGGATTTGCAGAAACCTTAACTTTTTGAGTGATGGTACAAATCTGTGCTTACAAGAAAGAAACGACAAAAGGAGAAACACAAACGGAATAGTGACAAATCTACATAAGAATCGAACATGGAAACGTCGTACTTGTTTCTGTAACACAATTATCAACTAAGTGAGCATAAGCAGGGTGTTTTCAAGAAATGTGTTGAAAAATTACAGAAAAGAAGTACCTGTGGGCCTATGCATCGTTCCATTCACTGTGTCAGAAAGCATCTTCAAATGCATAGAAACATTAATTACAGCAGTAATTATAGAAGCTAACACAATTAACTTAATAGCCAGTGGAAATAAGCAGTCCAGTCAAATGGGCAAATTCAAGTCCTTGCTGCGATTAGTAGACAGCCACTTTGAAATTTCTGTAAGGAGGCCACTGGTAATCAATGCGGAGCTATGAAATCTGGCTAATTTAGCAGGCAAACCGAAACTGACCCACCAAACAGCACATCTGCTATTCACTTCGAAAACACTGTTTCCTTCTGTAGTGTGCCACTATGGCACCACAGAGCGTGGCATGGTACGTGGCAGCACCTCACAGTGTCTGCACTAACTGCGCAGCACACCAAGTTGAAATCAGGAAATGGCCGAGTTTCTTCACCTATGACACAGTCAGGCCACTTATTACAAAATTTGTCGCGAGAACAGTGAGCACATTCTAGCTGTGTGAGCACATTCTATTATTCTAACATAATCATAACAGCCTTGCTGTGTGGAGTGCTATAATATTTGGCCCACATGTTCATAGAAGCCTGGACTATCTATCGGCAACATTTTCTCACCATGTTCGTAAAGCGCTGCAAGGCCCTTTAACATTTATGAATCTGCTATAGTGATTCAACGATAGGTATGAAGTGAAGAATTGGAGATAAACCTAGCCAGGGCAAACGTGCAGGGACCAAACGGGGGCACAGCACACCACACCGATTAGCGAGTTATGCACCAGGCAGATGACTTTACTGCTGTGCCCACTGACTTGAGAGGACTTGCGTGTAGACTCTGGTGGGGCCATGCCAGGCAGAAACACAGTGTCTGGCTCAAGGCTGAACGACACCCGCTTCTTGGTGATCGGCTTGGGAGGGCCCAGGTGGTCCTAAGTCCAAACACTTGGGCTCATCTCCAAATTCCATACTGACAACAGGTAAAGGGGGCCTTGCGTAATAACACACTCGCAGCACACTGTGCTACAGATACTATATCATACAAATGTTTTTACACAGCTCTGCAGGGCACAGAGCAGTGAAAGCTTTGAGTCGTGTCAGCCAATCAGGAACAAGAAGCAAGTAGATGTTCCCAAGAGAGGATCCGGATTAACCTTATTAAGCACCTGAATTCCTTAAACGTGCATGTGTATAAGTGCGTAAGAGCTTTTGCCCTTTGCCATCATGGCCACTGTGGCTGATATCGCCAACCAACGAAACAGTCATTATGTTACAGCTCAACCCATGGCAAGTGCTAGGTGTAAAACCATTAGCAGCAGATGTATAGCATTTTGTTATGTTTCTTTCCTGATCGACTAATTTGCCCAGAAGCTTTCATGCAAGAGTTGCCAAGATATAACATGTTGTCGTTATGTTGCGTCTAATTTGTACAGATGCACAGTTTCGACCTTATTTTAAGTCACTACTTAAATGTATGCGCTCCCCTTATTGTATGCTCCGGTTGTAGCATGTAAGGTACTTATGCTGACTAATAAATATGAACTCTTAAACTCCTCTCAGTCCACTAAGTCAAACAGCTAATGTCGATGCAACTTGCTGCCTGCCATCCACTTGCCTTCACGCAGTCTATGGATCAAGGCTGAAAATCTTTGTTTTCTTGTAAACAAATATGCACCACTTCAATATGCAGGGACACAGAATGAGTCTCACCAAGTGACAAAATGCAGGCAAGCAAGCACAGACATTAAAAAGCATCTCGCTTCTAGTTATAGCAGTTTGCTGATAAGCCAAAAGCTGAGAGCTGTTTTTTTTTCATGTTTAAATATGGCCTGTCCAATCACTAATATGCTATTTTAGTCACGAGTTCAAAAGCTTCTTAGATACATTTGCACAAGTTAAGGCCGTTTCAGTTGTTCCCCCGCTGCTCGAGTTGCTGGCAATGCATAGCATGCTTTTGCTGCCACCTGCGAATAAGGTCCTTAAAGAGAGTAGTGCAGTATGTCAAAAGGCAGAACAGGTGTGCATTACCTGAGCTGATGCTGCCACAGATGACCCTGTGAGCCATGCCCAGCCAGCATACAATGTGCTCACACAAGGCGAACCCGGCTCTCCTGCTCCTACAATGAGAGAAGTCATTACTTGGCACATCATTCTATGTATCTTAACTGTCCAAGGAACAAGCTATGATGATAATACAAGTGACTGCTATTTTCAGTAACATAATAGCAGAAAAAAGTCATTAATAGCGCTACATCTAAACACAATTGCCAAATACAACCCTATGTCAAATACATAGGGTTGTAGGCTAGTCAAGCTGTCCGAAGGCGGCTTTTTTTTTTACAATTCCCCCATCTGTATCTCGCAACGATGGAAAATAAACTTATTATTATTTTCATTATTACAATTGATTGATTGATATGTGGAGTTTAATGTTCCAAACCCCCTATATGATTACGGCTCCGGACATTGACCACCTGGGGCTCTTTATGGTGCACCCAAATATGAGCACACGAGCCTACAGCATTTTTGCCTCCAACGAAAATGCAGCCGACACAGCTGGGATTCGATCCCACGACCTGCGTGCCGGCAGCCGAGTACCTTAGCCATCAGATCACCGCAGCGGGTCTATTTAAACACAATTCTGGGGCTCCATGTGCCATGTGAATTAATAATCGCATGGCATTTAGAGATAAAATATTAGCAATTTACAACTGCATTTTCTAAAAATATATATCTTGAAACCGTGTTTTTTGACCGTTCAAATACGCATAACACTCACAAAGTGTCTTTTATTATTATTACAGTACTACAGTCCCTGGCATTATTGTCTGTAAGTTCACATTAATATTGTGTCTAACAAAGAAAAATTCTTTCATTCATAGCGAGCATCACATTCTGGCAGATTTGATGCCTCGAGGTGGTATGCGAGGGATTATTGGTCGGCTGCCATCTCCCAATAATACTTGAACGAAATGAACTGCGCAAAAAAATGTGCACCCGTTTTTGTCGTTCCTCGCTCATCTTTATTTTTCGTGCCGTTTATTTCATTTTTGACGGTCAGTGCAGAACGAGTGTCAGCACATGCTGTTCAAGCTTATGCTTTCTATAGAAACTGTTGCTTGAAAATCAAACGTCAGTTTTCTTTTATTTTTGACCGCATTGTAACAGAAACCCAAGCTCACCATGCTCCCCATTTTCACTTGTGGCCCCACGTAGCTCGGCCAGGAATCCCGTGGCAAGCAGGGCCAGGAAAGCGGCCAGGATTGGCACCCGCCACATGCCTGCCACAGTGGCGAGATGGCATACGACCGCCAACCAAACAGCAGGTGACATGGCCCGAAGGGGCCCTTCTGTCTGTGGCGTCCACCAAAACACCAGCGCACCGAGATAGCCCACCAACATGCCCCAGACCTGCGCACATTAAATCGTGCAGTAAGACACTGCAGCAGGAAAACCTTGCTCAAGAATAGCCAATGCAATGCATGATGCTTGCATTATATCCAATTTTTCAGCATAACAAGGGGCCTCACAAAGCAGTTCTTACAGTAAAGCTGTCTAGGGCTGGGGTCCAGGGAAGGATTTGCGTGCATCCGCGCCCATGCAGCCACTGTAGAGAGGTGTGTTAGGAGAGAAAGCATACAGAAGCTCCACACAGTGTGTATCCATGGTACTGAATTGATGTATGGTCTCATCAGCCCGGAATGACGTCATTGTTACTCATTCAGAAAGCCAGTGGCCAAGTGATGTGGAGAAGACACAAAGGTGACACATGCTCGAGTCATTGTGTGTAAGCCAGGTTATTCCAAAAAAAAAAAAAGCACTCAGTCACTTGTGACACGTTTTGCATGAGCCTATTTTCCAAGGTGCAGCTTTGCTATTGGTCTTCTACTATGACTGAATTGAATGTCAGTGTAATATTTTTATGATGTGTCTTGTAAATCTTTTAAACAGGTCTGCAAAAGTCCACAAGGTGTATCAAGGTTTATGATAGAGATAACTGTCATTTACCCATTGAATGTGGCACCTCTGTTGGGTTATTCAGCCATAACAGTTCTCCAGTCTGGTGCAATCAAAGGTACTCCTCAGTTGGCATGTCAAAAGACATCTCGCCAGTGGCCAACGTATTTGCCAGTATCTGTTGCCAATAGCAAAGATATTGAAGAGATGATGATGGCTTAAGAAATGTCAGCAATATATTGAACAAAAATTTGTTTCATTCCTTGCATAATTTTTGGACACTGTTTCTGTTATCATCGTTTTCTACAACAGTTGAACGAAAACACTTCAAGCCTCAAGTATAGACTGAATGCTTACATGATCAAGTAACTTGAACTCCGGCTACTTATACCTGTTCTTTAATTCCCATAACTTTTTTTTCTCTCTTATTGATGTTGAGCTTAACATTTTTTTTTTCTGTTACCACTTGCAGTGAAGTCCTTCCATGTTACTCAAGGCTCTTGCTAAGCTCCGAATTCTGCTCAATATGTTAGTACCAGTAGATTGTGATGACTGCCCATGTTAATTTTCAAGGATTGCAGGAAGCTACCAATCATGGTTTGGTTACACTTGCAGTATGTGCCTCTGACTTATATTTATTCTCCTTTAACATTGTATACATGATAAGAATCCTTCGTTAATATCATCATAATTGTCGGCCTATCTCCCGTCCACTGCATGATGCATGCTTTTCCCAATGGTCTCCAACCCTGATGTCCTGTATTAATTGATTTCATTTCATTCAGAATCAGCAAATAGTGAGCTTGAGCTTCCAAATGATTTCAAAGACAATAGTCATTTAGTCGAATAATTTTGAACTGAATGGTACATATTATAATGAAAAATGAGACTTTTCGTCATGGCCCAGCTAACTTGCACCGTATTTTTAAGATTTTAAACTAGCCATGTGTGAATGCCGCTTTTTTGGTTTGAAGGAAAGTGGAAGCAACTTTGAAAAGCAGAAAGATTTGAAAAGCAGTACGGTGTAAGTTCCAAGTAGTAAATACATTACATTTTAAAGTTTACTATACTTAGCACATACAAACCCATATAACACAGTTTTCAACGCTAGATATAATTGAGGTAAAGGCATACAATATGCACACTTAACCATGAAGGCCGCTTTGCAGCAGTGCAGATTTCTCCTGGAAAAATTATCCTCGAATCCCTACACTTAATGATACCTATTTCATTCTTTGTTTCTCCATAAGGGCATTTCCATGTCCACTTAATTATGCTCATTATGCAGAGACAATTTAATTCTGCTAATTCCCTCTCGTTTTTTTCAACATTGTACACAATTATGAACACTACTTTTTGATGCTGTTTTTGTCAACTAGTGACTAAAAGTGAACAAGCTATTCTGACCGCCTGATAAATTTCATGGCACAGTGCCCCCAAACTGCAGTGAAACCATCTTTACAGACACACGTGGTCAAGGATGCGTTATCATCACAGGCCTGAATACGCCCATTGTAGGCGACGGCCTCCCCCATGTCCTGCGAATCAACCCTGTCCTGTGGATTCTGCTGACATGTTAAAGCCACAAATATGCATATATTAATTCTAATATGCGTACAACCTATCGACTAGCCATCTTCATGGCATGACAAGCCCAGGTCCATTTGTTTTTCATATCTGCTACGGTATCTGCGACCCACTTGTTCTCAGATCCATTAGCAGTGACTAGGTTGAGTATTTTTAGGTTGAGTGTGATCTTCACTTTCAGCAACCTATAACTACCGCTTTTTATCTTGTTTGCTGTTCCTATGTCCTGCATTATCCTAGAATCCCTACACTTAATGATACCTACTTCATTCTTTGTTTCTCCATAAGGGCATTTCCATGTCCACTTCATTATGCTCATTATGCAGAGACAATTTAATTCTGCTAATTCCCTCTCGTCTTTGCAACATTGTACACAATTATGAACACTACTTTTTGATGCTGTTTTTGTCAACTAGTGACAAAAAGTGAACAAGCTATTCTAACCGCTTGATAAATTCAACTTGCTGCATAATAAATGCATCTTGATCTAACTTTATCTTTGCAGCTTACAGTTCAATGTAGTCACACTGCTGAACGCCCTACTATGTTTGACATGCTGCTTCCCGCTTTTTCTTTGCTGGAAATGAGCGACAGAATTGACATTGTATTTTTAGCCTCAGGTGAATTAATTCAGAATAAATATTTAATTACATCATTTTGCTATAATGAAATATTGAGTGCATTAAAATAATGTTATGTCGATTTGATGCACTTAGTTATTCTTAGGTGGTGTCTGAAAGGATTAAATTCTTAGAGTAAATAACATAGCTAGATGCCCCTTTCTGTTGTACTGCACTGCTAGTTTTGTATCCTTATAGAATTGTTTTGCTTCCCCATCATCACGGCTGGACGTGGCAGTATGCCTTTGTATTGCTTTCACTTTATGTCCCTTGTTTAGTTTTAAAGGAATATTTCACAATTAGCCTATATAAACACAGTAGGTACTTGAAAATAGATTCCAGAGGCTGACAGTCAAGTTCCTCACCAATCTTTCAAACACTTCTTTTTGTATATTCATCTTCCAGCCAACCCCTATTCTCTGTCAGCTAGCATCCTCAGCAATCACAATTCAATCAACAGTATTGCTGCACAGTACAAATGAACCTTGCACATTTGTGAAAATAGACAGAGCAGTGTGAATTTAAAGAGTGTTTGGAAACACTAAGCGGTTCTAAGCAAAAGCTTACGCTCCTATTTCGGGCATACAGAAACAATTGGCTCTTGTGAACACAACCGCATTGTCTAGACAGCTTTATCTGACTCGTAACACTGTGTAGGGCTCCTCTCAAAAGCACCTTTTTTTTCTTTATCTAAGTCATTTCCTCTTTCCTGTCTATTTCTAGAGCACTAGGCAGTAACACAGCAACAGGTGTAGAGCAGAATGAACAATAGCCTTGATACACAGCTGCTGAATGGCGGCAAGATAGCGGCACACGATTCACCTTCCTTACTTCCTTTATCTTTGTGCTAGGGTGAGTCAGAACTGCCTTCTGCAGACCTGTGGTACCCACGCTTTTGCAAAGCAGATGCTTCCTTAAAAAAAAAAAAATACAACAAAAAAAGGGGGGGAGGGGGGCAAACAGCGAAGTCACAGAAACCCTTTTACAGTCTGTCACAGTGTTTTGCAATATTCTTCAGTTACACTTCTATGTCTAGCATGCAAAACGTTTTTCTGAATACAAATCCTGCATTAGCACAGAGTCATGAAGAGATGAGCTAGTCGGTAAAAATTCATTCTTAAAAACAGGGCGCGTAAATGCATACCCAAAAAAGAAGTCGGGACCCCACAGACGCTGGTTAGACTGACTGGATTAGCACTTGCACGTCAGCTCCTCCTATCGACAAGTGTGTCATCATTTCTGTACTGTTGGAAAAGTGGCACCAGCTCCCTATGGAAAGGTAAACAGCCATAACAGCTGCTGATGCCAATTGCGAACCCATCTTGCAAGCAAGTCGCACCGTTAAGTGTGCAAAAGTAAACAGCCGTTTGATGAAGCAGCCACGAAGGCAACGAGCAGTGCATGGCACAGGAAGGCACAAACAACTGTGCGTATCCCTGACCGAGTACAAACATCTTGAGGCTCGCGTTGTTTTGCAAGCACCTGGGCTGGAGCCAAGTCTCTACTGGAGGCAAAGTAGCAAGCTTCAAAAAAAAAAAAAGGCCACAGAACCCCTCCCCTGCCCGCGCTGTTCATGAGAAATTAGAGCTGGCAACGGCCACAGGAAGTAAACAAAGTTAAAAGCTCAATGTGTGTCTCAACCCCGGGAGGTTTCTAATGGGGCCCTGCACCAGGGTGAGAGAGGGACGCAGATTGCTGCAGTGCCAAAAGGAAATCTCCGCTTTGCTCTGGTGAACTGAAGCCAACGAGATTGGTTTGCCATTCCTGCACATGAGAAATGTTTCTATCCTCATCTTGTGCTTTAATCTAGCAACCACCAAGTTTTGCAGAGTCAAGTTCATGCTGACTTCACGCTTGGATGGTTTACTTACAACACCCTACGTAATGTGTACAAGTTCAAATGAAGATAAACCGAAATACGTCGTTTTGACTGGCAAAACGTCAACGCATTCCGCGACAAAGTGCCCAAAATAGCCCCCTGAAATTTCTGTATATATTTCTGTAAAATAGCCCCCTGAAAACCATTTCTGTATCCTTTTTTTTTTTCGGTCAAACGGGAATGTGGCAGCCGTGAACGGTATTCGGACCCGTGTCCTCTTGTTACGTAGCAGAATGCCAAAGGCGATCAGTCACCGAGACAGATGGATGGGACGGTTAAGTACGTCGATCTTCAAGGCTTATTCAAACAAATACCTAGTGGTTTGTCGCCTTACACAAGTAAGGTCACGAGTAGAATGACTCGCTCTCGCTAACACACCGATTCAACGAACATACAAGGTTGTGCTTTCAGAGCCTAGAGGCTGCCACCGACCACGCTAAAAACAAAACAAGAAAACACTTGGACGATGCCGTCGGCGATGCAGTGCAGCACTCTCGCTTGCCACGGAAAGCTAACCAGCAGTGGTCTCCGAGGTGGCACCTACCATCCATCCCGAGGAGAAGATCTCCATCGTGGCCGACACGATGTGATAGAAGACGCGCAGGACGGCGAACACTTTCCAGGCGACCGTGACGGGCAAGAAGTGGTGCGCGAAGTAGACGAGCGGCACGAGTACGGAGGCGGCGAGGAACCACTTGAAGTACCGCAGCACCGTGTTGCAGGCCCGTTCGGCGACGCTGTCGACTACCTGGAAGGGCAGGCAGAACACGCCCACGGCAAGCGGGGTGCCCGCCTCGCGCAGGGCGTCCAGCCATCCTCCCAGGAGCAGGCACAGCGATCGCTTGAACGGGTGCAGCACCGATCCGAACAGGAGAGCCCACAGGAGCGGGCCCAGGAAAGGCTGCAGTATGAAGTACACGGCCACGCCGGCTGCGCTCACGAAGGCGGCGAACACGAGCGTCGCCGTGTTGTACACGGCCAGCTTGAGCGCCTTCTCATGGCCCTGCGGCACGAGGCTGAGGAACTCGAACGGCGAGCGAGACACGTCCTTCGGTGCTGCCATCGCTACACCACGCTCGGATGTTTTCAGCGTGCGGCGAAGACGGGCGGGGCGACCATCGCGTACGGCCCGGCCCCGCGGGTTTTGTATACCTGCTGCCGCCCGACGACGACGCTACGAAGGAAGACAGCGCGTCACACCATACCGCTCTGCTGCAAATTGCGACGTTACGAGAAGGACCCGCATGAATCGAGCGACGAACGGTTTTGGCAGCAGGTCCTGAGGTAACTTTGTACGTTTATTTGCTTGCAAGCTCAGCTGGCTCAGCATATACCCGTAGAGTAATACTGGTAGGGTGGCTAGAATAATACTGGCAATACCACCAAACACCTACCACAGCAAACGGTGCGTTTATAACTAAAGGAATGATTATAATAATACAGTAATTACAACAATAAATTCTTTGACTCAAAAACAAGCAATATTCAAAAATAATCATTAGTTTATGGCACAGGAGAACAAAAATTGTGTTCGACCAAATTAGGGGGCTATGGTTCAACTAAGCTTCCTGTTTTAGTGTGTTCATTAGCGCTATTGGTTTGCAGCGGCAGTTAAATGAACTATTTTAGGTAATAATATTATTGTAAAAAAACTAACTATATTTTTTGAAAACAACGTCACTGCACTAATATATATTGTAAATATGTTGAAAAATATGTATCAAATTTAAAGTTGATTGTATTGTGGGCTTGATTTGGCCATGTTAACTCGTGTTATGGTGTTTTTTTGCGGTGAGCTAGCTTTGTACAAGGTGTTTCTCTGTGCGTGTACTGAAGCGGGTGCTACGGAGTTTCATTTGTATGAAACTCTATGCTAAGAAGTATGTGCACAGTGTCAAGCTTCAGTGCGACACGATCGACTGTCGGCAATAGTTGCCCAGCATTACGCATGGCTTGCAGTGATGCCGCCGCCGACGAAATTGCGGACGCTTTCCTCGCCATCGAACAGCAGCAAAGCGAACTGCTCTCCCACATTCCGTACGGCTCCAAAGTTTCCCACGTGTACAATCCCCTGGAATACGCCCGCGAAACGCACGAGTGCTACGTGCGTAAATACTGCAGGACCAGAAAGACCGTGCTGTTTCTTGGCATGAACCCTGGCCCCTTCGGCATGGCCCAGAACGGGGTGCAGTTTTTCTTTTTTTCTGCCTGTACTTGTTCGTTACCCCGCCTAATAGTGTTCGAAATCATCTGTGCGCGCAGTACATCCGCTAATGATTCGTATAAAGCTGTCAGTACCTTACTTGAGGACCGTGATAAGAGGTAAGGTTACTTGATAAGAGGTAAGCGTACTTGACGTAAGCAGTGTAATCTTAGTTCTTTTCGCTGTGTGCACCTGCGTATGCGTCTTTTCATCTGCTAAAGCAGGAATTGGGTGTGCGTCACGCTAAAATGAACAGTCTTGTGAACCGTTAGCTTCAGTTTGTTGCCGAAATTCGCTGGTAGACGTTGACATAACCAACTTATGGCGTCGATCAGATGTAGTTAAATTAATATGGCAGCAGTATGCATTGCAACAATGTGGAATCAAAATAGAAAATAGGCGCCCCAGCCTCTGCTTAAGGGGAGCAAGTGTGATGGCTTACAGGTGCAAGAATCACCCGGCTGCACATGCCCATGCATGTGGCAGTATGTTGCAATTAATAAGCATATGCTTATTAACTATTTGATGAAGTTGCCAACATTTGCAATTTTATCAAAATGAACCAGGGCATCTTTAACAACTGTCACATCTGTGTATTTATAACGTTGTAAGTGATCTGCTTCTTAATGTGCCTTTTCTTAACTAGCTGCATAAGAACTTTACCACTAATAAAATTGCGAGTAGGTTTTCTGACATCGAATTTTTTTTATAAGCTCTACTATGGCATCTACCTCAAAGAAACAAGTTGGGAGGTCGTGTTGTCATTTACTTTTTTGTGTTGGAAATGTGACATTTCATAATCACATTAATTGCAGCATACATAGTATTACGCAATTCGTACCTATTTTCACACAAAGGACACACTCGGAATTTATCATTGTTGAAGGGGATGTGCTAGTGTCTGTGGGAGCTGCAACACATGGCGATTCAATGAGCATGAGATTTATGGGTAATACATGGATTGGCCTAACCTTTGTACGTACTTGATATTTCTTCTGGCTTCGCATGGTTGCCAAGAGCAACTGCCAAGTGTTCGGCAGTTACGCTTCACCTTTTGAATCACCATTTCAAATCGGGTCACGATGTTCCGAACGGTTTGTTCGTTGTTTCATTCCAAACAAAACCAAAACACAGCAATGAACGAAGCTGCATGTGCGTTTGTTGCCTGCAAGCACGTACCCATAAGTATAAACCATAATTTTTCATGGTCGCAGAACAATCGCAGAGCCCTCTCTAGTTACTCATAGGAAACTCTATGTGCAAGTGTACATTCTAAAGTGATTCACCTTGGCCCCACTGGCAAGAGCTTGCACACATCATTAATAATGCAAAATCTTGCACTCACATGAAACATTTTTACTATGTATCACTGCAGAACACGCAACTCTGAACAGAAACCATCGACCAAAAATAAGACCTCATCTCTCGTACAACAGCACAGAAAACATTACAATGAGTTTTCTATGTTGCAAAATATGAAGAGACATAACGAAGTGCCTAAAGAGCTATACTGATAAAGCAAAAGCTTATGTGAAGAGTTCATGTAGTAGTTGAAACACACAGTATGCACATTAATTAAAGAGAAAATGCACAAGTAGACCTTGCGAAGGTTCAGTCCCTGACGGCAGCAAGTTGTCTTTTTGACCACCTCATTCAGATATTTATCACAAATGTTACAGCTTACAACACACTGAAAACAATCCATTTACTGCAAGTTCCCATTAAGGTTTTGTCAAGCAAGAAAATGAGTCCTCAAAAATTAGCAGAACGACTACCAGGACTGCCTGGCTAGCTTGAAAGTAAAAGAACATCCCATGACAAAGAGCGATCGGAGCAGAAAGAGGCACTCGCATGACAGCGACTGTGTAATGAACTTAAATTGTCGTTAAACCGTTGCGTTTCTTGTAAATGATGAATTTTCATCATTGATTCTGTCTTCATGTGCACCAACCACTCGCAGAGTTGATTGTGTTATATCAGTATTTACAAGAAACGCACGAGCATTGCTTTTTTTTTTTTCGCAGGTGCCATTTGGCGATACTGCACACGTCGTTGGTTGGCTGGGGATCCAAGGCCACGTAGCCAAGCCAAAGCATGAGCATCCTCGAAGGCCCGTGTTGGGCCTTGGCTGCACCAGAAGTGAGGCAGGTAGTCCTTCCTCAGAACAAAGTTGAACTTGTTGGTAAGTATTCATCGTGAAAGAGCCTGCAACCATGGACACTAGAACTAAACACAAATGCCAGCATTTGTATTGGCTTGTTCTACTGTGTCTGGGTTTACACACCCATCATCTTTCATGATGAATAGTTCTGCATATCAAGAGCGAAGGACTCTCTGGTCGCAGGCAAATGCCAGAACTTAGGGAATGTGGGGAACCACTTGAGCATCCATAACAGTTGCAAGGCCATCATCAGGAATGATAGTGCAGTGGAGCTTCCAGTAATGAATGTAAAGCTTTCACTTGGCCTGATAGCACAGCTGTCTCTCATAGGGGATGGTATGGAACAACAGGAAAGACTTTAAGGCTGCTTTTTGCAAAGCATTCATTTGAAACTAGTGACGCAAGTGGCGAGTGCCCACTCCGAAGGAAGAGCCTCTGCCTGGACAGTTTACCAAGCCGTCATGGCCTTAATGGCCAGAGATTGCTTCCAGTATTGTGATCGTCTTAATCACTGCAGACTTTCCCAGCAAGTGAAAATTTCAATATGAGGTGGTTGGTGCATGAGCATACATAGTGGTGAAAAAGCCTTTCATGTCTGGTTTATTGATTTTTTGTACCGAACCCCAAAATTCCAACTCCACGCTGTCATTGGCTTCAATATTAGCCCAGTCATTCATGTGTTCGCAGGCTCAGCTACTCTTCCCTGCACCTCCGCCAAGTGAATGCCTTCAGATTAGCCAACACCGCAAGCAACTTTTGATAATCATGCTTGGCTTCATGCAGTGCCGAAACTTTTTATATTCTACTCACTATCTCTTAAGAATAACGCTGTTGTCCATCAAGGTCTAAATTCTATTTCCTTTCAATTCCTAAAAGCACGTAAGCTTGGGTGAGTTTTCAAGACATTATTGAAAAGCTCTGCAGTGCTGGAAAATGAGGACAGAAAGAAAAAGAAAAAAAAAAGCACAGTTTCAATAAAAGCTAAGTATAGGTTAAGCAAGCAGAGTGGGTGTATTGCATGGAACTGTTTTCAATTGCAGACTTCACCAGTGCATAGCGTGAGAATCGCTGCTCGTAGGAATTGAAATTTCAAGGTGTTTTCTGTAAGCAGTGGCATAAACATTATGCCTAGATATGAATTTCCTTGGAATTATAACTAAACTGCGAGGCTCTTAATTTTGTGAACCTATTAGTGAGCAACGGAAAACAGCGGGCGTAGAAGATGCCGCAGCTGTGGAGGTACTGTCACGACTTGGTGTGGGTGATGAAATGCTGGCAGACACGTATGTGTGCTCGGGGAAAGTTAAAAAACGTCGTTACATAAAAGGGGGCCACAGTCTGCCCCATACCAAGATACCCCCCGCCTGAAGTGAGCACCCCGCGTACACCTAGACAGGTACATTGTATAGACTAGTTATTGTTATCGTGATGACACAATACATTAAAAAACAGTGCAATGCTCTAGTAATGTTTTGCTATATGCATGGCACAGGTGAGCGGCCATCGCTTCTGGGGCCTTCTTCGGGAGATCACTGGTGGTGGGGAGCTGCTTCGAGGTCCCTGGTTTGTGCACAACTACTGTCCCCTCGCGTTCCTGCTGCCATCCGGTGCCAACCTGACACCCAACAAGCTACGCCTCGAATCCCGCCAGCATCTTCAGGCATGACATGCAGTTTATGCTTGCTGTACAAGTCTTTTTGACACAGTGGTAGCCCAATAGCTGTAGCCACTGCAACAAACAGAGGAGGTTTCAGCAGACATTTTTAGCTGTGGCAGATGCATTCTCTTAATGATCAGCTACAAAAACAGGTGAAAACTCATCCAGTGGGCACATGGACAGGCAAGAACCAAGAGGCTCATGAATTGAGGGCTTTGCCCAAAGAAAATGTTTATAGCTCAAAAATTCTTTCTTCTAGTGCTGGTTTGCTTGTCCAAGTCTTTCATTAAATGAAATGTCAAGTCGTTCACTAAATGTGATGGTCTTTCATTTTTACACAAGTCACACTCACTGAGCATGCGTGACGATACCTTTCGCACATTCACCTGAAGCGTGCTTTGCAGGCTATATGTGACGCAGCCCTATTGTCAGTCTTGGAGCTGCTGAGACCAGAGGCCGTCGTGGGCATAGGATGCTATGCTAGGGACAGGGCCCTGTCAGCAATTTCTGCAAGCTGCTTTGAGCCCCCTCGTGTGCTCTGCCTCACCCATCCAAGCCCTGCCAGCCCAAAAGCAAACCGTGGCTGGCATACACTCGCCATTTCGGAGCTGCAGTCCTTTGGACTAATTTCGGCCGACGTTGCAAACAGGGCCAGTGCAGAACTCTGTCCCGCTTCAAAAACTACTTAGTAAACCTGTTATGACTTCACCGATATCCTTCAACTGCCAAGTGGTGCAAATTTGCAACATACCAATAAAACCAAAAAAAAATCTTGAGCAAGCAAGTCATGAAGTCTCTCTCTTAATGCCAGCTGCCAAACACACACGAGAAACGTAGTTTTCAGCTTAAAAATCTGGCGCAAATTGCAAGGTATTCTATGCTAGAACCAAGTGATGGTAGAGTGCGTGAAGCATATGCAACTGTACTTTTTCTCCCCAAATGATGACAGCCTAATCTTGTATGTATAATTTTTTATTTGTATCCATCTAGGAGGTGGCACATGACACGTTATGTAATGCTGAAGTACACTTATGGTTGCAAGGTCATGTGGCAGGGCTGTGGAGTCTCTAAACATATGCATTAAAGTTGCATTTTCATGTGACTGCAGAACAAGGGTTACCATTTAACACTGGAAAACTAAAACAATTGTTTGCTGTGGTGGTGTCGCAATATAGGCATTGAAGGGAACTATGTGCACGCGGCTAACTTTGAACAGTCTACCACATCCCTGCTGGCCTAGGCAGGTACAGACTCTGGAAGGGGGGGTAGTCCAACTTATACAGGGTGATTATCTGATAAAGACTGTACACCCTTCAAAACAGTCGCCCAAGATTCCACAGCAACCAGCTCTACATGACCTTTATTCTCTCCCTAGCAATGCACCTCAAGACCTTGAGCACTCTCGCAACAAGCGGCTTACTTTTGTTGTGCTCAAAAGCAGAGAATTTTGGCCGCCTCCCACAGATGCCACTGTAACTTGCTTGTTTTACACTTATCTGCCAACAGTTGATGTGGGTATGTCTAATTTCTTATCAATAGTCAAATTTTATGCTACTTCCAGCACACACACACATTTGAGTTTCCGGACCTACTTGTGGTACAGCCCATCCAAATTTAACACGCTTTACTTGCTAGGAATTTCTGGCATAGAAATGTAGTAAGCAAGATTCCATGCCCCTATCCTTGCACCAAGGGGCAGGTAGTAGTGTTACAAAAGGACTGATAAGTGTCCATCAGTGAGCCATTAATTTTTTGAAGGTGCAAAATGTGTGAATACTGCATATGAAGCTATAGAACAAGAACCTACATAGTATGTCTATCACCGTGCCCCCCCCTTTATTTGAACAAGAACTGCTTTTGACACCACAATGCATTGGGCAGTAACATTTCATGCCACAATGTGCAGCCCAGCAAGGCAGAGTTACCAATAGTAGCCCAGTGCAACAGATTGTTCACACATATCTACCTGCAAACTTCCCTCAAGCTGCACAAATACAAAGTCTACTAGGAATAACAGCTTCGAAAACTCTAAGCTTTGGTTTGATCAAATCAAGGTTAAGCTTTGCAGAACGTTCACACATCGGTTCAGCTTACAAGTCATTGAAGTTATGCCTCAGCCAGCATTTTTTTTTTTAACCTTTACCCACCAAGGAGCTTCTCAAACACGTGCTTTGACCAGTGGTTCTGGAATGCAGCCACAGAACCTTTTATTAGATTGTACAAATGCAGTGTGTTGTGCATTTTATGGTCCGGTAGAGCGGGCCTGCTGGGCATCATCTACAGGAGGTTCCAGCTCCTGCAAACAAATCTAAGAAGGAAAAAAACTTATGCGACGGAGAGAAATTATTTTTGTGCACGAGTATGCCAGTCTCAAAGTTGATTGAACAGATCTGAATTGACAGTTACATAGTCCAAATGTTACACTGCCTAATAAAGGGACACCAAAAAGAAACGAGCAAATATTTAGAAAGACAAACCACACTTTTTTAAACCAAATCTATGCCTGGCAAAATTCAAAGTGCACTTTTGGTTTTATGGCATTGGCACAATGAAATTTACTCTGTCATATGTCAAGTAAAAAATGCCCACAGATTTACAATTAGCTGCGCAGTATCCAGTACTTTTTCAAAATTTCTCGCATCATGGTATTTGGTGCGAGTGTCGCAAGGTGGCATCTCCACCAGCTTTTTGTTTTATCGAGAGTTTGCTCTCGCTAAGCAAACATTCGGAGATGTCGGGATAGTGAAATTATTTACCGTCGTGCATAAAATCTTTGCTCCTTAAAGTAGGCTATTGGCTCGACATATATCAAAGAACTCTCTGCACCTGTGGGCATACCTTCATAGGATGGACATACTTGATAGCCTGTGCAACAAAGCAATGCAGTGTAAAATGCTTATTGAAGAAAGACTGGCATATCGCATTTTTACCTATTGTATTCACATGTACCCAACGCACCAGGAAAAACTGAGCAAAACGCTTACCTTTTGCCAGCTTCATCAGCAACTTGCTCACTGCATGTCCACATGAAGGCCAGAAGCTTGTTGAAGCTGAGGGCAAAGCAATATAATTACTTCCAAGTTCAGAGCAGCCCATAACTAGATGGACTCATTTTTCTTTTCATACTGTGGAAGTAAAGTTTGCACCAAGCAAGTCAGCTCAAATACTGGACACCAGTCCTTAACCATTTCCGGTCCACTACTTGCCAATTCTCAGGGGGACCAGGTTTGGAGGGAAAGACTGCTAGATACAATCCCTAGACAGACATTCTGCAGCATTGCACATCACTCCAAGACATCTGCCACAGCTGATGGCGCCTTTCGAATGCGGCCAAAATGACCAGACAGCAGTGGAGGAATGGTTGGCCGACCGGAAAGGGTTACCCTGCCCTTGCATGCAGCAGCCCCAGTATGTAAAGAAACCTGTGCTTACCTACGTAATGGCCTTCCTGCAGCTGACTTCCTCTCAGCTACGCTATCCACGCCTGTCTACCACCTAGACAGAAGCGAGCTCCAGTCCTTGGCCAGCTCCGGCAGCCATGCCTAGCTCTTTACGGGATAGACCGACTAAGGCTCAAGGTAGACAAAACAACACGACTCTCGCTTGTGCACTAGATGCTGTGTCTTACAACACTAGCCTTTATTGACCCAGAGACTTGAATTACAAGACAACATCTACAGGAGCAACGGGTGCTTCCTCTGGCTAGAGAGCGCTGTTGCGTTTTGGGGGACCACAGACAATATGCGAGAGAGATACAATGGTATAGACACAAAGGCGCATATGTGATGAGGACGGGGTTGAATGTGATGTGCTGCAGCTGGCTGTTCTTCCTCGAGGACACTCACTGCCTGAGCTGCTGCTGGCACAGCTCCAGACCTGGGCTAGCCGGTTGCCTAGCTAGCTCGGACCAAGCTGCACTGCCTAGCCCTGGCTGCTCTGCCCTCTCAAAGCTTTCCTGCCACCCTGCGGGTCGGAAACATAACCAGTCACTCCCAAGCCCACAACTTGTAGCCGCTTGTGCATACTTACCCCCAGTTAAAAACACGATGAGTGAATGTTTATCTCCGGTAGCCACCCGCGCTGCCATTACCTGGAACGAACAACAAAACCTGTAAGTCCAAATATCCACACTCGTGAAAGAAAATGCTGAATGTTAGCAAGTGCACTATCAGTGAAGCCAAGCCTTTTTTTCTCTCAATATGGGCCTATTTCGCTACAGAAACAATTATTTGACGTAACGGATTTCTGGGCTCAATTGTGCAGCTGGATTAATTAATCCAAATTTAGTTGTCCTTCCTGTTGACCCAATAGCGCAACAGCCTTATCACTGAGAATGAACAAAACATACCATACGGGCCAGAGCCACGCTGCGAGTAGCCTCCTGGTCCTCCACGCATTGGTCCCCCACCGTAGCTGTTGCCGTAGCCGGAGCCAAAGTCTCCGCCACCGCCACCTCCCCAGCCACCCTGGCTGAAGCTGTCTCCGTAGCCTCCACCGCCACCTTGGCTCCAGCCTCCACCGCCGTAGCCACCACTACCACCGCCGTAACCGCCTCCGCCGGAGCCATATCCACCACCGCCGTAGCCGCCGCCACCATATCCGCCACCCCCGTAGCCACCTTCCCAGCCGTCACCACGACCTCCGCGGCCGCCACGGAATGCAGGCCGCTTGTCTTTCTTGAGGTTTTCCATCTCTTGCTTAGAAAGTGCTTTCTTCACTTCTGTCCTCTTTCCTTTCAGCATGTGGTGGCGCTTCACTAAAAGAGAGAACAATTTATAATTTCCATGTAATTGAAAGCATGCCAAACCGATTGCAAAATAAAAAAAGAACACTAGAGGCAATCACAAGTGCGGGGAACTCACGGACAATCTTGTCCACTGGGTCGTAGTCATCGTACTCAACAAAGGCGAAACCACGCTTGCGGCCAGTATCCTTCTCGGTGACCAAGTTGACGGACAGGATGTTGCCGAACTGTGAAAAGTAGTCTCGAAGGTCAGACTCGTCAACGTCATCTTTGAGACCACCGACAAAGACTTTCTTGACTGTGGCCTGTGCCTCCGGTCGGCCGGCTTCCTCACGGGGAACAGCCCGTTTTGGTTCCACCTCTCTGCCATCGACCTGCATATGGAATCAAGAGTCATGGTGCAACTGCACATAAGACACCCATCCGCACAGTTCGTACAGGTTTCAAACGAGAAAAGACATAATAGCAGGAAATGATTCACTGCATTACGAGGACAATGAGGCAGTACATAGGTACAAATTTTTTTACGGATGTCAGTAGGAAAATGGTGTAAAACATTTTCCTATTATAGGGGGCCATTCATCTTCGAAGTGCATATTACAAGTTTTTTTCTCCTATGTAGGGCTTGTAAACAGTGTTTATCACCTTGTAAGAAAAAAATTCCACACTTAGCAGATGTTTACACATGCCGCAATGTTCAGTCATTGACACAATGTGTACAGTGAACGCTGCTTAACGAGTTTGCTGAATGGGTATAATAAAGATTGGCACGGTTTGTTGGCCACATTTCATAACTCGAACAAAAGAAAGTTCAGTAATGAAAACTTTCGATAAATATGTCGAGCATTAAAAAAAATTCCAAGGTTGGTTTTTGTAAGGACGTGTTCGAAGTTCAAGGGTTTTAAGGGCCTTGATAACAGACAATATGCACAAGTCAGGGACCTGTGCACACCCTCCATCAAGTTCTTTAGGCTATATATCTGCCAGGGTGGGAAAGCACACCTTAATGCAAATTACAGACCAAGTGTAAAAAAATGCATGTTCAAACAAATCGATTAGACCTCTCCATAATAGGTTACGAAAAAAATTGACCGGCTTTAATTTTCGCGCCATTGATCCGACTGCAAAATGAAATCTGGGCCACAGTGGCTTAAACATTGCTACGTTTTGTCCCTGCTTATAGAGGTTAATCCAGTTGAATTTTACCATTTGGGAACGCTATAGGCTTTAATTACTTTCCAAGAATATCGCGTACATAGAACAGTGCGGACGCCGACAAATGGGCGGAAAAAATTAAAGGCGCCGCGAACCTTGTGAGGTCGCGCCGCTTGCGCATCGTCAACCATGTGCGCGCGACGGAAGGTGATAAAGCCGAAGCCACGGCTCTTTTTCGTGCTGGGGTCTCGCATGACGACGCAGTCCACGACTTCGCCCCATTGTTCGAAGTGGCCTTTAAGGCTCTCCTCCGTGGTCTTGTAGTCCAGGCCGCCGATGAACAGCTTCCGGAACTGTTCCGGTTCACTCTCGTTCTGAAAAGAGAACAAAACAAAAGCTGTAAAATCGAACCGGCATCGAAAGCCGCCGCAGCGATTGAGTAAGCAACGGACGCGGAGGCTACGGACCGGTATTCGTCGGCCAGAACATTCAAACTTCATTCGCGAGTAATTCGATGCAAACGAAAATCATAAGGGGCCGGACGAATGCGACAAGCGAGCGCCCAAAATGGCTGACGTGGCGTACTTGTCGGCCCACCGGCGGCATCGGTCGTGTGCGCGTCTTCCAGCACCCGCACCGGCTTTTAAGCCTACTCCAAACAAAGAAAGGATGAACAAACAGTCAATATTACTGAAACACATGGAACCAAACCATGACCGCTAGTTAATCACACAGTTGGTCTAATTCCCGCACACATTTGCCTTGTAACTCACAGGCAACGAGTACGGCAGGGCATTGGAAATCAGTTTCAAGGAAATTGAACACCCGCCATGTTGTACTGTTGAAGTAGGCTTAGCTTACCGGCGTGGGCACTTGCAAGCGAACGCAGTGTCAGTGCGATTTTACATTCGCTTGCCCTGCGTCGGATGGTTTACCTACACGACACAGAAGCTGAGAAGTTGCAGTTCTCCCAGCGAGAACGAACAGATTTGCGAATCTCGGCGCAAAACGGAAGCCGGCATGGGGAAGGTAGGCATGGCAACACCTACTACGCCTCAATTTAGATGCCACAAAATCGAAGGCTTGAGAGCTAAAAACGGCCGGAGTTCTCAAATAAATGGAATCGCCAATACACGGACCACACCAAAATCGTTAGTACTCACATCTTGAGCACCCATCTCCGCTTGCCGGTTCAGAACTTGCGAGAGCTACAGGACAACGCTGCCGATTACCGCCAGCGCCCGGTCAGAATGCCACGACTGCAGGGACTGGCGAATGAGCGCATAATATGAGCAAACGTCATCAGTACTACTTTTAACCATAAAAATTATTTGTCGTTTTCAAAATACAACAAAAATAATGCATAAAATAAATTATTATTTTCTATTATACTGAAAAAGTTTTAAGTCACAAATAATAAAGTACATGTTCTAATCATTTGCTGCATTTACTGCGGTTCTTGTATTCCATGCTAAGCGTTGTTTGTATGCCATCGAACGTTTTCCCGCCGCCTGTAGTTTTCGACCGAGTTCTTCACCGTTACAGGTAAATGAGAGTAACGAACTTCGCTGCGCGCGAAGTGGCGTTATTGACCCGTGCATTGTTACGAAAGCTATCATCTCGGTTTGTCGGCCGCCCTCGGTCAATTTTCTTTCTCTCGCGGTTCAGTTGGTGACAGTTTTTAAAGAACGTTTGTTAACATGGCGGTCACGTTGTTACGAATTGTGCGCCCTGCATACTCGCTGTTCGTTGCGCAAATACTTCGACGCGATCCACTCACGATTCGCCCGGCTGCTCGAGCTGTCTCCGCTTTGTTCAGGGTTGCTCGCAGTGGTTCGTATTTCCGATGCTGCTTTACGTCTGCAGAGTTAAGCCTAATGTGTGTAGTCGACGGCGTCTTCGACCTGGACCGTTGGTTCACGAATCCATTGTGCAAGCAAGGGTTTCAGTTGCTTGACCGTTGTGTAAGCGTGTAAACTGCGATCCTTTAACGCGGCGTAATGCATGAGTATCGGCGTTGTATCCATGTTAGCGTGCTCCGTTTCGAATGTTAGTGCGGCCTAAACTTGTTTTCGCTTGTTCTCCGTGGCCGTCTTCGGCGGGGAACTGCAGCAGCGAAGTTGCTTGTGTGATAGCAGCGGTTCACCCGAACTTCGCTTTCCCTTGTTAAAGATGAAAGCAATTTAGCAGAGCAAGTGCCTTCGCAGGGGCGCGACTTGGTGTGACCGTTTCTTCCTTTTCCCGCGCGTGTGTTCACGTTCGCTTCTGTGGACTCGTTTTGTTGAAACACACTGCGTTCCTTCTGCAGCACAATGTCGGCGAAACGCAAATCACCCGATGGAAACTCCTCCGGCTCCGAGGAATTCACGGTCGAGAAGATCCTGGACAAGAGAGTCCGCAACGGACGCGTGGAATACTTCCTCAAGTGGAAAGGCTACCCCGAGTAAGCTGCTGGCCAATCAGTTTGACTTCGCGTGCATGCAGCGAGTCCAGAGTGTATGTCGCGGTAGTCTAGTTTCGCTGCCACCCGCCGTGGTAGCTCAGCACGTGGATTGTGTTGCTACGCCCGAGGTTCGACTCCCGGCGACCGCATTTCCAGGAGGGCGAAATGGCACGTGTCGTGAGCTGCTCAGTGTGTCACGTGCAACACACAAAAAGTTCTTGTACGAACTGTGAGGTGAACCTTTGACGGTGGTCAACACAAGCCACATGTTTCGTTTCACCGTAGTCTTGAGTTCAAGACTATTAAGCCACCACTGCAAGTTCCATGTTATTCCGAAATTGGTCAGATCTACTACTTATACACTGTTCGACCCATTTACCATGCATTTTATAATAAGTCAGTTTCTATGGGTAACATGGTTCTGTGAAATTTTCCCATCTTCAACTGAATAAGATTGTATTGTGCAGAACATATATATATATTTCCCTGAACAAGGAGCAGGGAGTTCAGGAACTGTGTGAATGAAGGTTGGCACTGATGCAAAATAATTGTGTTTACAGTCCAGGCACTATGTCCTTCTAAATTTAATGTGGGAAGCTGTGCACGGAGATAAGCAATGAAAGGAAGAAATTTTTCGGACGGGACAACCGCCACCGCATTCTCCAGTTGTCATGTCCACCAATCGTTTCTTCCTTGTGTGCTTTTCTCTATGCGCGGCTGCACATGTAAAATTCCACTGATACCTTGTGGAAACAAATTGGGGCGTGCATACTTTTTGTGTGCCTTTGCAGATTGTTTGATATGTGAAATCATGATCCCATGCAAAGTGTGGCTTCATGGCTGACAAGATACGTGCTCTGTTTAATTCACTTTGGGCATGTCATTGACAAAACTTGGGATCCCACTTCTAAAAGACGTGTATCTCCTTAATTCAATAACAGTTGGCTAGTAGTCGTTTAGCATTTTAATTGCGCATGTATCAAAACATTTGGGGCAAATATAAAAATCGTGTGTTGATTAAGTAACACAACAAATTAAATGCAGTAATAAAATCTTTCTATGAAGAGGTGGTGGATGGGTTGAATGCTTCTGTCTGGAGGGTCTGTTGTGTAAAGAGAAAGGTACCTTATATAGCCATTTGATTGTTCACCCAAAGTAATGGCGCTGGTTTCATATGCACAGCCCTTTTTTTGTAGCTATTTATAATAAAAGATACACAATGGCCCGAAGCTGTTAGTACTTATGCTAGCAGTATCCATTCTATGCTGTATGCAGTCTGGTTTGAAGTAATTAAGTTTGCTTTCTGTTTGGCTGGCTGCACAAAACTTGCTTTAAGAAGCCTTGTTGAAGATGTGCATTAAAATGAAGGGCAGCATTATTTAAGCAATTTGCTCCTTGTTCAAACTCGTGCTTTTGTTTCCGATCTGCCTAATACGATATCATGTAGTTTTAATGCACCAAAACATGTGGCATTGCTTTTGTCATGATTAATGCTAACATTTCTAGCTGTATTTCAGAAACGCATAACCCCTCTAATAAAAACAAGATTGATTATATTCATACTGAACAAGAACAGGAGAACGTGACGAAAACATTGAAATTCTGCTCAGTAGACCCAGTTGTCAGTTGTGTTTGCGGAGGTTTGTGGTCTTACTAGGAGCTGTACATTGATGGGTGTGACTTCAATCAAGTCTTGCGCTTTCTTGTCTTGCAACTTCCCTTCTTCCACTGCTCCTTTACGTCCCACTTCCTTTTCCACTAAGACGCTGAGATGTGTCCTACACTATAAACTATAGCTATAGCAGGGCAGTTTGAAAGACGCAGTCAATGGCCGGCATGGTTGGCACTCCTGTTTCTAAAGGCATTGAACGTCACCTCCTCCAGTGTTCCCGACACAGCTGCTAGACGTGGCAGTTAACAAATGCTCATTAGATTCATTATTTCCTGTTCGTTTCGGCCTGAAATAAGGCATCTACCAATTTCAGCACTCAATCTGTCAATTTGACTAACAAAATCATGGTGGCAAAAATCTTCTTTAGGGTACCTATGCAGTCAATCCCAGATATATAAAATTATTGGCTATATCGAACAGTTCCCTTGAATCCCCTTGAACTTCTTATGCAAAAGTATGGGACCGGTGCGCCTGTATATTGAACTCCCGCACGGCAGAACATCCGTTATATCGAATGCTGCCCCGAAGCCCAGAAAGTGCATTTTTCCTAGCAAATATTCATCAATTTTAGGTCGCGTTCTAACAAGTTCCGACCCTTTTTTTGCATGCAGGTGACGAGAAAAAACGGGTGTTGTTCCATCGCGCTGATCCGGTTCGTTGCGCGGCACTTGCTACATCTGTACGTTTGTGATGCGTGATCTGTAGGTCTTAGCGCACGGACATACTGTTTTCCAAAAGACAGATTGCCGAGGGCACCGAAATGAGAAGGGGAAGTGACTCGGCGATCTCAGTGCAATGTTCGCATGTGATTCGCATTCCCTTCCTTGTTGTTAGCGAACAATGGCAAGCAAGCCTGAAAAGCATGCCCTTCGATATGGGCTTCCTTTGTGCTACGTGTCTCGGAGGCTACGCTTTTTTTTTTTCATCTTTTTGCCTCAAAGTTGCTAAAAGCATCGGTTGCCAGCTACAAAGCCATAGTGACATCGATATCGCCAACATGTCGATGGTGAAAACTCGGCGTTGCGTCTTATGCACTTCTCGCCCCGTTCCTGAAAAATCCTCATTCAGGGGTTTAACTGAATGTTGGCCCGCACGTAGCGATAAGAATTATGACTGGCGCTTGGGGCGACGTCAAGTGAAACACTGTGTTGTAAACGTTCCTTGTGGGCCAGGTGATGACCGCTAACAACGGCGTACGGTGCCTCAGTGAATTCCGCGACTTATCAGCATTATTCGGGCATCATCTCGAACAGTAACGACTTCATCGGTATAGATGATATTGCAGTTTCTGAATGCATTGATGCTGAGATTTTGGCTGCCGGTACCGCGGAAGTGCATGTATGGTGAATATGCAAACGCCCTCGCTGCTGCCGCTAACCAAGCTTTTGCCGCGCTGTAAAGCTTGCATCGGCGTTCTGCGTCAACCAACGTTGTGGCCGAAGGCGCCGAGTTCTCTTATTGAAAAGTTTCAATGATATTAAGGATTACTGGAACTTGACAGGGTGCAAGAAGCAAGACAAGTTTACAGACTGAATAAAGTGTGGTAACTTGCAGTTCACACCTTGTTTTTGAGCAAATAGCTATCTTGGCTCTTGTAACGATTTCAGAGGCCTGAAATTCTTCAATTTAGGCCTTAAGTATGCATATCCTGTATTTCGAATTCTCGATATATTGAACTATTTCGCGATCTCCTTTGAGTTCGATATATTCGGGATCGGCTGTATTAGTTCCGGAGACTTGGTCATACATGCTATTAACTTCTCAATTACTTTTAGAAAACACTTAATTAAAAAAATTGTCTCTCCATGACAATAGTTTCGTTTTTTTTTTTTTTTTTCATAAAAGCAAACTTTCCTTTTTAGTACTTTTAGAATTGCACTGCAGCATAAATGTTGTCTGGTCTTGGTTTTTACAACTCTCCTTGAAAATGAATTTGATATTTTGAGAAAAACAAAACTTAAATTTTAATCATTGAAGCAAAGTTATCTTTCTGCTCAAATTTGCAGGATACATTTAGATTAGTTTATGGGGATGTATGCTAAAGCCTAAAAGGAGAACAATATGGCAATCATGGCAAATTTCAATGTCAATTAAGTGTCCGATTGCTGTCTTACAGAATACAAGATATGGTTAAGTTCATAGACGAACACTGAGACGCAAAGTGTGAATGGTTGGTGTGCCCGCAGCCGAGTGTAAACTCTGGACGCAGGGCAATGCAAGTCCGGGGAAGGCTTTCACAAAGATGTCGTGAACAAAGAGAATTGTGTGTATAGATAATTTATTTTTACCAAATGTTTTACAGAAAAACCCAAGACACTGATGGGGTGCTTTGTCAGTGTGCCCCTAAAGATGTCCATGCAGGCCCGCGCACTGTTTTGTTTGGACTTTCAGATTGTACACATCAGTTAAGCAATGAAAATAGTGGCACGCTTGATAACTTGCGGCAGGCTGGTGTTGATCCTGGCTACTACAACACAGCAGCCGGCCTTAGAGCAGCTCTTACAAGAAATAGCTTGTCTCAGATTGACAAACTGCGCTCACATGTTTCACTATCATAGGTTCATTATTAAAGAAAAAATCAAAGTTAAAATTTTATTCCAAAATTTCCGTGCACGACATCAGGAATTTCAAAATGCATTTTTTGTATTTTTGCCACGTTGGCCCCATGAAAATTTTTGAAACCTTGTATGCTAGAGTATAACCAACCACTATACATAGCCTTCATAGATTAGGAGAAGGCGTTTGATTCAGTAGAAATATCAGCCGTCATGCAGACATTGCGGAATCAGGGCGTAGATAAAGTATATATAAACATTCTGGAAGAAATCTACAGGGGATCAACTGCTACCATAGTGCTTCATAAAGAAAGCAACAGAATACCAATCAAGAAGGGTGTAAGGCAGGGGGACACAATCTCCCCAATGCTATTTACCGCGTGCTTACAGGAGGTTTTCAGAAGCCTAGAATGGGAACAGTTAGGGATAAGAGTTAATGGAGAATACCTTAGTAACTTGCGCTTCGCCGATGACATTGCATTGCTGAGTAACTCAGGGGACGAATTGCAACTCATGATTACGGAGTTAGACAAGGAGAGCAGAAAGGTGGGTCTTAAAATTAATCTGCAGAAAACGAAAATAATGTACAACAACCTCGGAAAGGAGCAGCGCTTCGAGATAGGTAATAGTGCACTTGAAGTTGTAAAAGACTATGTCTACTTAGGGCAGGTAATAACCGCAGAGCCTAACCACGAGATTGAAGTAACTAGAAGAATAAGAATGGGGTGGAGCACATTCAGCAAGCACTCTCAAATTATGACAGGTAGATTGCCACTATCCCTCAAGAGGAAGGTATATAACAGCTGTATCTTGCCGGTACTTAGCTACGGAGCAGAAACCTGGAGACTTACAAAGAGGGTTCAGCTTAGATTGAGGACGACGCAGCGAGCAATGGAAAGAAAAATGGTAGGTGTAGCCTTAAGAGACAATAAGAGAGCAGAGTAGATTAGGGGACAAACGGGGGTTAAGGATATCATAGTTGAAATAAAGAAGAGGAAATGGACATGGGCCGGGCATGTAGCGCGTAGACATGATAACCGCTGGTCATTAAAGGTAACTAACTGGATTCCCAGAGAAGGGAAGCGGGTTAGGGGGAGACAGAAGGTTAGGTTGGCAGATGAGATTAAGAAGTTTGCGGGTATAAATTGGCAGCAGCAAGCACAGGACCGGGTTAACTGGCGGAACATGGGAGAGGCCTTTGTCCTGCAGTGGACGTAGAGTCAGACTGATGATGATGATGCTAGTTCTGTGGCACCCACAGATGACTACGTAGGTCCCAGCAGGTGCCTTTAGAATCTGACGTCATGATTTGTGGTGTCGCGAATCTCAAGGTAGCGTTGCCACCCACATTTTCTTTTCCCCCGTTTCCTCACTTACGAAACGTTATGTCGCGGTAAGAATGGTGTTGTTGGGATTGTGAAATTTTACTTCACCAATATGCAAAAAATTGTTTTGCTCTTTAGTGTTCCCCTGACAGGGACCGAACTCGCTTGAGGAGTACCAGCCATCCTCATCAGCTGGCAAAAAACAAGCTTTAAAAAAAGTATGCGCTGCTTAACCACTTGAAGGTAAAACTTTTGGCTGTTAAGAAAGGCTCTAGCTATGAGCTTGGTAGGTTTTGGTGTCCCACAACCGTCCAATTTTGTATATAACTCTCAGATCTTCGTTTTTGTTTTTCATTGCGGTGCCTTATGGCGAATTCCGTTGAGAGAGCAGGGGCATGCTTAAAGTGCTCTCTTCAGAGCCGGCATGTTTCAGTGCTGGAAAAGCTGCAGGATCACTTTCATTCATTGGTAGAGCGAGAGTGCTTTTGCTGCGTTGAGAGCAGCCAGGAGCAGTTTGCAGTGCTAATTAGTCTGCAGTTCATAGACTACTTTTTTCTCTCTCTCTCTCATGCGTTCAAGTAGGCGCCTGATGGCGCTGCTGGCGATGTGTTCACTTGCCTGCCTGCAAAAGGCGGAGACACGCGACCACCGCGGGCGATGACGCCGGTGATCGCGATATTATTTGTGTGCGCATACCAATTCATATGCCGAGGTGCAAGGCGCAGACGCCGCCAACATGCCTCACGTTATCTCCGGGGGGCCGCAGGAGATACGCAGCCACGCCCCTTTTGGTTGTCGCTTTCGAAGCCTGTTTTTCTTCGAAAATAAACTAGTCTTGTCCCAAACTTCAAGGAGTGTAGGTGCCTTCTTTTCGTGCCTCTGTGGGGCGAGTACGCTACAAGTGTGTGTGTGTGTAAAATGACCACTGAGGTATTTGTTTTATTAATAATTAAACTTGATAAAACCTGCAAAAACCGCACACAATTTCAGTTTCAAACTTTCTCCGGCTCAGTCTAGAGTTGTGGGCATTTATACCACCAATGGAAAAAGACCTAACGTGGACAGAAAAATTCTCTTTAAAAAATTTCTACACACTTTCCAGAGAAACCACTGCAAGGTTAGACACTTCACATGGTCCTCTTTTTATTGTGACGTCTAACAGGAGAGCAATGAAGAACGGTAGACTGTCCCTTTAAGCTGTTACGCCAACAAACAGATGATGCTCACAATACCATTGCCACATAGCAGGTGAACCTTTTAACCCATTTGCTCTATAAGATAAACTTCATGGGGTAACCTTCTGGTGGCTCACTCAGGAGGATATTAGAAATAATCTTTCACCAGTTTCTCTGCGGAATTCTGTACTACTCACACTTTCAGACCTCCTAGAACAAATCAATAAACCATGCTAAGCACTGTATTCCTAAGTGACAATTCAATTGAAAACTAGCAGAAATTCGCGTTTTTTTTTTTTTTTTCTAAAAACTATTCTACGTGCTGCAAGTCTGGAATAAGTCATTGTTAAAGATGCTTGAGGGGACTAGTTTGTGTTGTCTGTGATAGTAACTGAGTGCACAAACATGACTGACCTTGTGAAGAGTGATCACTTGGCATCATTGACAGGACAGCCTAATTTTATATTCCGATTCTTTGAAGGTAAACACGGGTAAAAACTATAGTCTGACATGTTATGCGCCAGGGATACCAAGTTACTATGTGCTATGTTATTTGACAAGTTGTTGGTGTACTAGCATGCATCCCATTTCATATTTGGTTCCATGTATATCAGAGTTCAAAAACAGGTGAAGCTCTATGATCCTTAGCAGTCAGAAATGTGTTCAACGATCAAATTGTGAAGATGGGAGATGTCGGTGGTAGGGGGTGAAATCTGAAGCAGTGATAGCGATTTTGCTGCTTCGGTAGATCAGTACTTCGATAAGCAGAAGTGGCGTTATAAAGTTTCTTAGCGACTGTAAACAAAAGTAAAACGGAGTTGAAAGGACTAGCCTAATTCAAAAGTTGTCCTAGCTAGTGCATTACTGCTGTTAAGTTTGCAGAAGTGGCGTTATAAAGTTTCTTAGCGACTGTAAACAAAAGTAAAACGGAGTTGAAAGGACTAGCCTAATTCAAAAGTTGTCCTAGCTAGTGCATTACTGCTGTTAAGTTTCAGTTATGATACAAACGTAGTGTATCAAGACAAGATTTTTAATCCATCTTTTGTACTCCTAATGCGTAGTGCTGTCTGTATTGTTTTGAAAGCAATGTTATAGCAAGCTTTCTGCTTATGTCGCTACTTTAAAAGACCTTAAAAACATCTGAAATGGGGCTATCGAAACATGTATCTACCCTAAAAGGGCCCCTAAACTACCCAGAGCTTGAAATTGTTGCAGCTGTGCACGAGTCTCCAACAACCGCATAGACGTGAAATGTTATTGTAATAGCGCAGTTGAACATATTTGATGATCAAAAAGAGGCCCTTGCTGTTTCACTATGCTCTATTGGTTAGTTTAGCAGTGGTTCTCTTTGGGAACCACATGAACAGACAAGAATGCTGATGTCACGGCAAACACTCAGGATTATTGAAAGGCCCGGAGAGGTGAAGGAATGGTTTCTTAATTTATTGGATGCCCATGGCTCATAGCGCTGCCGCATTTGAGATTGTAGACTGTGATGGCATAAGCTACTCAAGTTGCGAAGCTATTTTCTCATTTTCTGCCTCGTTTCCTCTCTGCTCAACCAGCTCAGAAAACACCTGGGAACCACACTCTAACTTGGATTGTCCTGAGCTGATCCAAGAATTTGAGGACAACCGCAAGAAACGGGAGGAGAAGAAGCGTTCAACTGGAGCCAAGGCCAACGGTGCTGCTGACGAGCCCAAGAAGAAGAAACCAAAGACTGCCTCCGAGTTACGGCAGCCACCAGAGGTGTGTCATATCTCATCATAGGGTTCAGTGGGGCGCAAGGGATATTTCACATCATATCTGTTTTCTAAGATGATAGTCTTGACCCTTTGCGTTCCAAAACCTTTTGCCACCTTCTTTCTGCTCTGGTTCAAAACTAACATTCTGAGGTCAAGTGCGCAAAGTTTGCTTTTGCAGATAGTGCATGATTTGGTTTGTTTACCCGAAAGAACTTGTCCAGTAGTGCGCAACCATGCGCCACTGCGGCTGTGTTGAATTGTTGTCGGAGGCAGGCAAAACTCTTAATGGGAAAAGGGTGGTTGACAAATTAGTTTTAAAACCATGAATAATGGACATGTTTAAGCCCTCAAGCATCTGTTGTCCAATTATAAACGAGAATCTTGGTCAAAATAGTAGCTTAACTTCGCTTTAGCCTTGCGTCAAGAACTGCAAAAGGCACCACAACAGGCAAAAATTCACTCGAAATTTCTGTGCACGCTGAGAGCACAGCATTCAGCCAACTTCCACCTTCGTGGGCTTCTTTAAAAAAATTTTTTTTTTGCATTCACTTTGGGCCATTTTAAAATAGCATGGCTTTAACCTTTTAAATGCCAGCACTATGAAGCAGTAGGAAAAAAACTAAAATGTATGTTGATAATTTGCATTGGCCATCTAAATTGACTATGATCAAAAATACAGCCACATTCACAATGACTGAGCATGTTTTTTCGCATGTTCCATTTTTGGAACATTGGCATTTCCCATATAGAAAACACATTTTCTCTGGAACAACTTTTATTGACTTTTCAGTCTGGTTTCCTTATTCAGGATAACTGAAGAATAATATTTAGCATCATACAATGTCATCTGAAAAGTATAAATATTTATAACAACACTTTATGAAAATTTCTTCTTTCATACTACTGGTGTACTACAGTGAGCAAATCACAAACCATGGTAAGCGGCAAAGCCTTTCTTGTGCAGCCGCTTTTTGCACTGCTGGCACTGACTTGTTGTATTCTTCTTGCATTCCGCGCACCTTCCCTGAGTCGTTGAGATGATGTAGTGGCCATCAGTTTTTCTGTCCTCATGTCTCGGATGAACCCGGGATCCAGGTCTTACATTGAGTTTCTGCTTGAGCTGCAGCAAGGACATGGTGACGTCCCGCCGAAAGGCGATGTGCGTCATGGCGGCATCACTACCCTTGTGAAGCTCGCAGTGGAGGAGCCATCCTGCGACGACAGCCATGTTCAAACCATTGCTGGAAAGATTCCACCACCATTTCTTGCTCCTCAGTCTCGGTCGATAGCTTCCGAGGAGGCGGTCCATCACATCTACTCCGCCCCTGCCCTCATTGTATTTTCTGATCAATTATAGTTGAGCAATGTCCACCTTTTTGTTTGAGCGTCGTGAGGAGCGTTTCGCACTTCCAACAGGCTCGTGGCTGAGGTGGTTAGAAGAAACTGTGACGACTCCATTGTCTTTCCACCTGCATGCGCAGACTGCCCCGTCACACTTGTTGTGGAAATATCCTATTTCTTCCTTTTCGATGTTTTTCAAGCTCTTCAGTGGACAACCACCGGTTCTTGTATCTCGCACAGTCCCTGTGGCTAGAATCCCCTGGTCAGCCAGTTTCGTCAAGAGGCTGTGCGAAGTGAAGATGTCTAAGTAGACTTCGTGATGTTCAGGCGCTTCCAGGAACGATACCATATTGCTAACAACCCTGATCCCGAGAGGCGTCTTGTCGTCCTTTTCGTTCCTCCCACAATATACAGTCGCCGACCGATTTTTCGGACCTGGCGGGGACCGAAAAAAAGTACGAAAAATCGAACAGTCCGAAAAATTCGTTTTCGCCAAAAATCTGAAGTTTATTGCATCAGGCAGGTTTAAAAAAGTCCTTGATGCTGCCTTGCCTCAAACTACGCTTGGAGGCAATTTGGTTTGCCCGTATTTGCGCCAAGGTGACATCGTCGCCGTAAACGCTCGACAAAATTGTCACCGCGTTGGCGATCTCCACCGCCGACGGCTGCGGGCGGTCGTTGTCGTCATCCGAGCCGCTCTCCGGCATCGGGACAACCTGGCGAAGAATTTCGTCGTCAGTGGCCTCCGCGCACGAAACAATGTCGTCTTCGCACGAGTGAAGTCTTTAAATGTCATTGTGGCAGGTAGAGAATCCTTCTTTCGCCTCCTCCCCGTGCGATGTGATGACGATAGTGCTGACCGAAGACGAAAAAACGGCATCCATCACCGCGTCTTTTAAAAAGCAAACACGGCCTCCGAAACTTAAAATATGGCGTGCGCATTCCAATCTCGGAGGCAGGAAAAGCATCAGAAGATCAAGCTTAGCCAAGCCGACAGAAAATCCAACATGGCGGCGTTCACAATGGCTTGGGGCGTGGCACAAAACGAGCGATTTAGTCCGAAACATCGAACTTTCAGGGGCAAATTCACCCGAAAAATCGGTCGAAACAATGCATTAGCTCTATGGGATCCCTGACGGTGCATTTATAAAGTCCGGAATATCCAACAAGTCCGAATTTTTGGAGTCCGGAAAATCGGTCGGCGACTGTATTTCCATCGCATAGGGGTACCGATTCGAAGAGCACATCATCCATATTTTGTACCCAAATCGAATGGGTTTACCACGAATGAACATTTTGCACAAGTGGCGGCCATAATAGGGCACCATTGACTCGTCGATGCTAAGGCTTTCATTGAACACTCCAAACTGGCGGAAACATTTGGCGATTTCGTCGTAAAACGACTGAAGTTTGCCCATTTTCTCGCCTGCTTTCAACTGAGTGTTGTCAACAACATGAAAGAACCTTTTCAGCTGCCGCAACCTATTGCGGGCCATCACTGTCGCAACTATAGGCACACAAAGATCTTCTACAGTGCTCCAATACGAGTCCTCAGACGGAACGGAGTGGTACCCGCTGAAAAGTAAGAGGCCGAAAAACTGACCTATGTCCGCTCCTGTGACGTCCACCTCCTCCCCCTTTTGGAGTGCGTATCTTGCAGTTAGTTCTGCCAGCGAACCAAGATACTTCGGAGAAATAAATTTGCTGAACAGCATAAATGGGCTCATGTTTGCAAGATCAGGAAATGCCTCTAGCAACAACGGAGGACTCTCGCTGGGAAGTGTTTTGTCAAACGTGGCATGGTCACCCCATACTGGTGTATGGGAGCGCTTTAGAGTATTTGTTTTCCGAGCGTTCGTTGAAGCTTTGCGTCCTTTTCCAGCAGTGAATTGCCGCCCCGCTGGTTTCTTTCGTCGTGGCTCAGGACTCGAACATGCAGAAGGCGAATCGTCTTGATCGCTGCACTGCATAACTTCAACGTGCCCACAAACATCCTCGGGAACAACTTCAGAAAAGTCGTTTTCGTTCACGTGCTCCTCGTCAGTAATATTGCCATCTTCAACAGGCGGCAATTGGCATACAGACGCACCTTCGCGTTCGTCATCGGGAAGGCTGAACAAAAGGTGAATTGCTGCTTCCAAAGTGAGGAAGCATTGTGCCATGACCTACAACGAAAGTTATTGCGGTGTAAAGCACAGTACTACAAAAATAAAACCAGCCACAAGGTAGTTTTGTACTTACATTCACAGGGATTGATGCAGCTAGGCACTGTAGTTCAATGCTGCTCTTTTCACGTGTCTGGCAAACTCAAAATGACGCCCACGAAAGCTTATGTTCAAGTTTCTGCCAAGCGCCGCCTAGCGGGCGCCATCGACAAGGCAAAAAAAGAAACGGAACAAGGCGAAACGCTCCCGCGCGTCTACGCTGCGTTTGACACTGTGAAACGCCAATGTCCCAAAAAAGGAACATCTGCACAAAACTCTCAAGCTGAAAACTAGATTTTCTTTATTGTATTGCCACGTAATCCCGAACTATTTGCCGATATTTTAGTTCTGCTTTGCTCTCTACAACATTACTTTTTCCTGCGGAATAATGCAACAAACATCTGGTGGTCAAGGAGCGCAAAATATGCCTGTTTTTAAAAATGTATCTAATGATTATCCGTGGGTTCATAATAGAAATTGAAACTGCTACGTTTTTCACAAGCATTAGTGAGTATGCGTAAACATAAAATTTTAATATGCGATATATTGGAGAGGAAATAAAAAATTAGGTTTTGTATGTTCCAATTTCGGAACATTGGCAAGTAAAAGGAACATTGGAACATGGCAAGTCATTGACACTTGAGCGCTTCGTCAGCTGGTGAGACCTGCAGCAAATTTTTTTGTTGCCTTCCTAATATCATGAAAACCTTTTTAATTTCTTCAACATAATCTTCATAAATAGTTCTTCAAGATTGCCTTACCTGCTTTCCTTGGTGCGTCAGTGTAGGCTAAGCAAACAACCAATGTTGGAGTTAGTTTGAATGGCTGTCATGTCAGACCGTAAGCATCACCAAGCGATGCCATTCCCTAGGTGTTGTTGTAACCTAGTTGGCACAGTGTCAGGCCGCCACAGCCATAGATAGCCGTACACCTTGCAAAAGTCGAGGCCCCATCCTGTCACTCTCAGAGGCACCCCTGCTTTCACCTCCTTCTAAACTTGCATGCACGAGCACATGCAGCCACGATCTCTTTGATATAGAGAAGTAGATGCTAGAGAGTTCAATGATTGAAGACTACTGAAGTTCATTCCTTTGGCACCAACCGATTAAAACATGAAAGAAAGCACGTGCTGCACATTCACACCACCAGTGCAAAGACACAAGTGCAAAGCCAACGCGAGAAGTCTGCGGAAGTGTGAAAGCACCTCCGAGCATGATGATAATGGGTTCACCGAGCATGATAGTTATGGGTCCACCACAATTCAGTAAAATCTTGCTGATGCGAATTTTGTAACGATGGTAACTTTAATGTTGCTTCGGATGGACTACATTACTGTATAAAATACGCAGTGATTTGGTGTTACGTGAACAGTTTCCCCAGCCACCGCGGATGATACTAACGCGTGATTGACCGCTGCATGCGAAGGGGGCAACGTGGCTAATCTGAGGGAGGAAAGCCT